CAGCACCTTGTTGAATCAATGCCACGTAGAATTAAGGCAGTTCTGAAGGCGAAAGGGGGTCAAACACTGTATTAGTATGGTGTTTCTAATAATCCTTTAGGTGAGTGTACAACTGCATAGTAAATGTTTCATGGGACTGCATAGTAAATGTTTCAGGAAAACGTGTAGACATCATAGCTTTCCATCTCCTCTCACTTATTTGCTATAGTTAAATTCCATAACATGCCAATTACATGTGATACCAATTTCACGTGTTCGCACATAAGTTTTTTGCATTTTTTTTTAGTTAGTTCTTAGTTATTGCCTTGATAATAGAAAATATGAGCTAGGCATCATGTATGACAGTTGCCAAAGTGAGATATGAGCTAAAATAGGGCTTATATGTGGATATAAAGAAGCAATACAGGAGACCTATATGGCCTGTATATGCACATATATGCACCTCAATTTTGCCTATATGTGGCATATATACGCATATATGCAGCATATATATTATCATATATGTGCATATATACTGCATATAGGTTTCATATATGCGCATATATCCTCATATAGGTTCTTTCCATGTGGGCAGTTACGATTAATTTAAAACTTACACCTGTAATGAATATAACGAGGAAATGGCTAGTGAAATACAATCTAAAAGTGTCTGATCAAAAAACAAGATGTTGTTTGACTGGTGTTTTGGAGGCGTGCGTCATCCTCTCTAAAAAGCACTTGCATACTGACTTCAATTGAATTAGGAGAGAAACACAGCTGCATTGGTTACTATTGGCATATTCAGCAACTTCTCATATTTCACTTACTGATACTGCCACTGGGTTCCTGTTTCCTCAAAATGGAGTTCCTGGAAGATTCATATAGAGCTTGACCACTGACCACACCAAACAAAAGCACCTTGACATAACTTGAAGAAACACTGCTTTTCTGTAAATGGTGGCCATATTTCATGCCATTTAAAAAGTTATAAATGATTCCAGCGTGTGGCTCAGTGGGCTAAGCCGTGTGCCTGTAATCACAAGGTCGCCGGTTCAAGCCCAGCCTCAGCACGTCTGCGGGTCCTTGAGCAAGACCCTCAATCCCCAGCTCCCTGGGCGCCGCTACGGGTGGCTGCCCTTCGCGGACAGCTTGCTCTACAAAGAGCAAGTTTTGAGGGAGGCGTAAAAACAATTTCCCCACGGGGATCAATAAAGTATCTATTATTATTATTATTAAAGCTTTAAAGGTAGTTTTGCATTTACGGCTCACTACACTGAGGAGAATTTGAGCATTAAGATGTTTTTGGAAATTTAATTTGTACTTTCGCTCATCACCAACTCATAAAATCCACCCTGTATTTTAAGTTTAAGAGCACGGAAGGTGTCGATCACATCAGCTAGCAACCACAACTTACACACCTTTGAGAAGCGGTTTATTCCGGTTTGACTGAGAATCATCTTTGAAAAGGTGTTGATTTTGGTTTGACTGGTTTGACCTTGAGAAGCGGCTTATTCTGGTTTCGATGCAAATCACTGCCTCACCCGTGCATCTCTCCTGCTTCCCAGGCCTCTGCAAGGAAGAATGTATTAAGACAGCCATCAAGTCCTGCAGCGACTGCATCCAATCCGGCCGCTTCTGTGCCTGGTGCAAACAGCTGGTGAGTAAGCAGCAAGAGTGAGGTGGCCAGAATCTCGAGCCAAATGACACCTGCTGTCCAGTTCTCTAGAAAACGTGACAAGTTGGCGAAGGTGTCCAAAGACACTTTGCATTAAGAAGTGGCTTCTAGGAACTCACAACTAGATTAGAAGCAACCCTACTGGCAAGTGTTTCCCTGTCTTGTCCTTGGGGACCCTTAGCTAGTCCACGTTTTTGCTCCCTTCAAGCTCCCTCTCAGACAGTCGGTGCGGAAGCTAGGACGGAGCAAAAACCTGCACTGTCTGCAGGTCCCCGAGGACCAAGTAGGAAATACTTCCATAGGCAACAAGGGCGACTGCCAAGTGCATGGGTTCCCAAACTTTTCAGCCCACAACCACCACCCATGTGTGCACCATCTGAGACACATGAATTATGGGTAGTGAAGCTTGCCTAGGGCACCACATGAGCTTCGACCGGCACTGGTTTGAAGGTAGCCAAAATGCCGATATTTTTTTTACAAGTGGTGGCACAATGGCTCTGGTTGCACATCTCTGAGGTTCAGGGATTCAGTTCCTGCCCTCTATGTTGTCCCCATGTTCATGCTGGTTTCCACAAGGTAATCCAGTTTCCTCCCATATATGGTTAACATACGGTTAGATTAATGGGTGTATTCTAACTACTAATTGTGAGTGTCTTCCCTGTGATGGACCTGTCCTTTCTGGCTAAGTCTGGAGGCTTATATGAAAAACAGAGAGATGGATATTTATTTAGCTACTTTTTAATTTGTTTGTGCTATATTTACTTGTCAAAGTGTCTTTGACCTTGCCTGTTTTACATTCCATATATGTCTTTCTGTGCTCTATGTATCTTGCAACTTTATGCACAAGAATTTCCTGTATCATCAATAAAGTTAATTTACTAATCTAATCTACTTGCAATGACTTCCTATACATCCTATACCACAGAACTACACCAAGCAGGGTGATGTGGACTCTGTGCGATGCGACACACGAACGGAGTTGGAGAAGAAAGGCTGTGAGGAGACGAACATCATCTATCCAAAGAGCACTGCCCATAATACGAAGAACAGACCACTGAGCATAGAGAGCGGTTCGGAGAAATTCCAGATCCAACCTCAGGGAGTCAAACTCATACTTAGACCAGGTGTGTCTGTTTGCACTCCTTGCAAATGTGGTCCAAAGCACATCAAGCTCCTTCGAGTGCAATTACAGGTCTTGCCTCTCTCAAAATGACTATTGAGTGTATTTATACCACAATTCTGTTCAGGTATGCCACACACTTTCTCAGTCAAGTTCAAACGTGCGGAAGACTACCCAGTGGATCTGTACTACTTGATGGACCTTTCCTATTCTATGAATGACGATCTACAAAACGTGAAGAAACTTGGAAAGTCTTTGCTGGAAGTTTTGCAGCAGACGACCACCAAAGCACGTATAGGTGAGATCGCATCTCACAGACTCCAGTTCTCTGGATGGTGCAGACTCATTAACTGGATTAATAACTTGATGATAATCGCCGCAGTTTATCACGGATGCTGTTTTCCACAGGTTTTGGGTCATTTATCGACAAGACCGTTCTGCCATTCACAAACACCCACCCAGAAAAACTGCAAAAGCCATGTCCAGATGAAGAGAAGAATTGCCGGCCTGCGTTTGGATACCAACATGTGTTGAGCCTGACGGACAATGTGGATACCTTTACCGAAACGGTGTCCATCCAGAACATCTCGGGGAATCTGGACAGGCCAGAAGGATCTCTCGATGCCATCATGCAAGTGGCAGTCTGTGGGGTAGGGATGGTCTCCTGAATTTAAATGGGAAGCCTGTGCAGATCATACCTGTTCTTCACGAAGCACCATGAGTGCATGATCATGTCTCAGTGATGTGCCACAGATCATATGTGCACGTGTCACTGTGGACATGCATTTTTCTCTGTATGGCACAATAAGACATTAAAATAACCAGCATGTCTATTCATACCGCACTCTGCACCCAACAGGACAAAATTGGCTGGGGGAACAGCACTCGGCTGCTTGTAGTGGCTACAGACGATGGATTTCACATGGCAGGTGATGGGAAACTGGGCAGCATTTTTGAACCGAACGACGGCCAGTGCCACCTGGATGAAGACCTGTTGAACAGCAAAAACAATGAAATGGTAACCCTAACCAATACCAGAAACTGGAAATGCAAGAGATTCTTACTTATGTCTGTTATGTTGAAAAAAATAGTCTTTGTAAAAGATTTCAGATAGTTCCTTTATGTCAGAGTTCCCAAGATCTGGTCCGAGAGAGACATGATCTACCACAGTTTGCAGAGTTCCCTGCTCAGACACATCTTGACTAGCTACTTATCAGGTTTAGTAAGTGTGTTTGATGTGTGTTGGATTCTGGCCCCTGAAGACCAGAATTGGGGAACCTTGATTTATGTGCTTTGCACATTGCACTACACTATATTTACAAGTTGCATTGAATGATTAAGGGCTGCAGGCTACAAAATAAAGACAGAAGTATAAGTTTGTAAAACAGACAATTGGTTGGTTGTGATGTAATGGAAGGTCTTCTCTCTTTTCAGGACTATCCTTCTGTAGGGCAGGTGGCCACAAAGTTAGCAGACAACAACATCCAGACCATCTTTGCTGTGACTGAGAGAGTGGAATATGTGTATAAGGTGAGTCTTCTGGACCTTACAGTATCACCTGCATGATATTGATTTCGTCAAACAGAAATGTATTCAGTTCATCGAGATATCAGCATGTTCATCAAAGCTTCCAGCATGGTAGGGAGAGGGCTAGGGTTTGATGGCATTTTGTACCCTCACAGGCCCTGACAGAGCTCATTCCCAAGTCTGAAGTTGGCGCTCTATCGAACGACTCTAGCAACATTGTGACACTGATCAAAGAGGCGTATGAGGCAAGCATTTAATGATTTTGATTTAAACATTCAAAATGAAAAAATTTAGACAGACAGATAGATAGATAGATAGATAGATAGATAGATAGATAGATAGATAGATGTGATTGTGATGACAGCGCTCATCACAGTAACCATAGTAGGGGCCAGATAGATAGATAGATAGATAGATAGAAAGATAGATAGATAGATAGATAGATAGATAGATAGATAGATAGATAGATAGATAGATAGAAAGATAGATAGATAGATAGATAGATAGATATCTTGACACTAACTGTGTAATATGAATCAACATAGAAACTGTCGTCAAATGTGATCTTGAGCCATGAGGAGCTTCCAGATGGTGTTACTGTCACCTATTCATCACACTGTAAAGGTGGAGACATTACCGGCACAACAGGGAGGTGTAACAATGTCAAGCATGGAGAGGAGGTAGGTACAACACACTGCTCCTTCAAGAACAGCACCGTTTACATGGCTGAACACTAATATGACAAGTCAAAAGAAAGCATGCATACAATATTGATTGCATATAATTTCATTATCAAACTATGTCACCAGGGAATGTAGAAATTCAGTATTCATAATATCGGCCATAATCAAATAAAAAATCACTTGGTTGATACTTGGACTGTGTTGTGCAAATTTTTTTAGGTCATTTTCAACGTGACAGTGACAGCGACACGGTGCATGGAGGAGCAAATGTTTCGCATCAGAGCCCTGGGCTTCATAGACACAGTGACAGCGAATGTATTGACACGCTGCGAGTGTGATTGTGATGACAGCGCTCATCACAGTAACCATAGTCACTGCAATAATAGGGGCAAAGTCGTCTGCGGCACTTGCAGGTACGGTAACAACTCCCGCTAAGTTACTGATGAGGCATACGCCTGTATTAATGTACGGCATATGTGTGTCTGAGAGAGAAGAGTGAGAGTCGATCTCAGCTATACACCACTTAGATCCGGCTGGGAAAATTATTTCCTGTGGAGGGCCAAATCCGAGCTTCAGCAGGGGACATTTTTAACAATTATGACCCCAGGGACATACAATACAGAAGACTTGGTAGATTTTTGCCCCCATTCTTTTTTAAAAGACCTACATTCTGAATCTTTTTTTAAGAAACAATTGTAATTTTGATTTCCATTTCTTAATCATTTTTAATAAACATGTGGGCCAGTAAAAGCAGGCTGGCTTTTGTCCTGCTCTGATCTAAATATTAAGCAGTAGGACCCTTATGATCCAGAAGCAATAAACAGAGCTACTACACTTTTGTTAACCTGATTCTGTTAGAACTATCCTTCTGATACAAAAGGGTACCTCTGGAATTTTTTCACAGAAATGTCCCATTAAAAATAAACAGTAGTACTCTGATTGATTTTGAGCCTATTGCATAGATTAGGGATGAGGGGTTAAGGGGTAGTATTAAACCACAGCGTAATCTACCACACAGAATACTCACCCGCATTCACTCACTGTAGCCAACATTCACCAGATCAACACATATCCGGACTTATGTACTCACACATATGGACTCAGGAAATCGGAGTGTATAGAGAAAAATACATGAAGAGTGCACCATCCATCCAGATTCTCTGCCCACTTCTGCCACTTCTCCCATTCAGAGTCACAGTGGTCAGGAGTCTTTATTCACAATGCAGGGATTTTATCCAGGATGGGGTGCCAACCCATCGCAGGGCACACACACCATTCAAACAGACATTCACACCTACAGACAATCTGGTAACTCAACAATAACACATGCACAAATAATTCAGATGCTTTATTTCAGTGGTCAAAACCGATCAACCGTGAAATAACGTCCAAAATATACCAAGAAGGATCCTCCCTACTCCAGCTGGCAAAATAAACTGTTTCAGTTCGGCAGCTTGCCAGAGCTCATTATTTGTAAAAGTAGCTCTCACTGCAAAAACAGGTTGAAGACCACTGTTTTATTCAGTAGTAAATAATCCGGATCAACATCAGGACTTAATTTATCTTCTGATGCGTAAAGATATATTTTGTGATGAATTTCCCTGAAGCTGCCAGGAAGGATTTGCGGGACAGACCTGCCAGTGCGAGCTGAAGGAGTCGAGCCTGGAGCGGCAGAACGAGGCCTGCCGGTTGAATAACGGCACAGAATGCTCCGGCCAGGGGGAGTGCGTGTGCGGCCTCTGTGAGTGCCACGCCAGCAAGGAGGGCATCCAATTCTACGGGACCTACTGCCAGTGCAGCAACACCAGCTGCGAGTCCCACGGCAACAAAATATGCGCAGGTAGGCGCCATACCCACGCGACCATCCATGCACCGATAATGCCGGCTTGGCGAAAGCCTGAAGTATTTCCCCCCCAACAGGGAATGGGAAGTGTGACTGCGGCAAGTGCATATGCAACGCCGGGTATGGGGGGTCGGCGTGCCAGTGTAAGATGTCCCTGGAAGAGTGCATGACGAACAAGAGCACCGAGGTGATGTGCAGTAAACGGGGAGAATGCGAGTGCGGCGTCTGCAGGTGCAAGGAGGGCTACGAGCTGCCGTACTGCGAGGAATGCACTGCCTGCAGCTCCCCCTGCTCCAAATATGCGTAAGGACACAGCCACTGTCATTTGTGGTGTATGTGTGTGATGGATGGGTTATCTAGAGCTAGAACTAGAGTCCCTATAGGCTAGACTAAACAAGTGTGTTTTTAGTCTAGACTTGGATATTGTGAGTGAGCCTGAATATCCACTGGAAAACTATTCCACAGTTGAAGAGCTGTATTAGAGGATACTCTGTATGTGTTCCTGTTTGTGTTTATACTGTATGTGTGTGCACATATTCCTGTATGTGTTTTTATGTGTGTGTGTGTTCCTGTTTGTTTCTATGTGTGTGTGTGTGTTCCTGTATGTGTTTCTGTTTGTGTGCATGTTTGTGTGTATGTTTCTGTATGTATTTCGATTTACCTGTTTTAACTCATTTAGCACGATTGTTTTTCAGGAGCTGTATTGAGTGTAAGGGTTTTGAAGCTGGCCCGTTACAAAAAAACTGCAATGGGGTTTGCACACATCTCAACAATGTTATGATGGTGGACAGTCTCAGAAGCAAAAAGCCCTGCAGAGAGAAGGACTCACAGAACTGCTGGATGACCTACGTGATGAAAGAGATGGATGGCTTTGACAGATATGAAGTTCAGATTCTGAAGCAGAGAGGTTAGAAGCTGGATTCATTGCTGTTGCTAGAGAAGCAATCACACCAGCTTCTCCTAAGTGCGCTTTTACCTGCTGTTTGGTGTCATTCCTGCCTTTCTTTGACTTACGATTGTTCCGACTGTGTGTTTCTCTGTTCCCTAGAATGCCCACCTCCACCAAACATAGGGGCCATAATTGGAGGGGCATTTACTGGAGTAGCCCTGATTGGACTATTCATCCTGCTCGTTGTCAAAGCGGTCATTTGGTATCAAGACTTGGTGGAGTACAAAAAGCATGAGGAAGAGCGTTTAAAGGCGAAGTGGTCCACCCAGGTTAGCACAGCCTTTCCATCAACAACCAGATCATTTCTCCCTCGCTTTGTGTCTTCAATATTATGCTTGTTCTCTTCCCAGGAAAACGTTCTATTCAAAGCAGCAACAAGCACAGTCCAAAATCCCTTTTACACCGGAGACTGATGGACCAGTGGAACCCTTCTCCAGCACTGAACATACCTCCGATAATGTATAACATAACATAAGAATCGTTACTGTCACTACATAGATCAGCGGGGGAGCAGGACAGCAGTATCAATTTTAAATATGGGGGAACGTGGGGGCGCAGGACAGTCTTGCAGCAGTTATGGGGGAAAAGCTGTTTTTGATCCAATACGATATGAAACCATTTCTAGTGATTACGGGCCTTGTGGCTTCTGCAGTGCTGTGTGTTACCGTCTTGGATGGTTCACAACTTCTGTGCTTCTCCTCATCCATTATTTCAGGATTTTCCTCAGCCGTTTCTTTACTTTAAACTGTATTATACCAATCCTGTTAAATTATATATGTTTCTTTGGCAGCTCTTCTTATCCTGATGTTATATGTTTATACTGTGTAAAAAAAATTTGGAAATTATATGATATATGTAAAAAGATAAATGAAGCGAGGGCATGTACATGCTTATGTTTTTAAAAACATTAAAAAAAAATTTTTGTTTTATTTCCATCCATCCTGCTTAAACGTAAATACAAAAGTGGTTTCGTTTGTGTGTAACTGTCGCCTCACTGCTGCAGGGTCAAAGATTTGAATCCCGTGTCTGTGTGTGCGTGTGTGATGTGTGTGTGTCTGTGTGTCTGTGTGTGCGTGTGTGATGTGTGTGATGTGATGTGTGTGTGATGTGTGTGTTTGTGTGCGTGTGTGTTTTCATATTCTTCCCATATAGTGCAGGTTCCCCTCCCATTTTTGGTGTATGAGGTTGAAAATCGATGGATGTTTGTTTACTAAACAAAAGATTACATTATGATTTCTGTAAAAATGATACGAAGCCTTAATTTGCAATTTGCACAAGTACAGGTACTTTGGAATTCTTATTTTTCACATATAGTCAGGAATGGACATAATTGATACGCAAGTTCGCATTCACCTTTAAGAACGATACGTGCGACAATCGATTGTGGTAACTGTAAATGCTATGAAAACAAAATAATGCATTTTAATCTTTATATGCTAACTCCACTTCATTTGCAGTATACATGTTAAAATGCAAGCTATTTTCTTGTCATAACAGCAAAATTATTGTAATACAGAAAAGTACAAATAAAACTTTCTATGGGTAAGTGTCCAAGCTTTTGACTAACACTGTATAGCCACCATGCCCTCATTTTTAAGACATTAAAATTTATAGAGGTTGAGAGCTGAGCTTGGGGTCTGAGTGCAAGGTCAGGCATTTACCCAGCAGTCCCGGAACATTTTGGGGACTTTAGGGCCCAACAGAGATGTCACTGTTCTGGTGAGAATGGGATTTGAACAGGCATCCGCTGAGCCACACATAACCATGACTTGGATTCCCAAGGCTTCATAATTATTATACATGTGTATATCAGGCGCTCCCAGCCTGATAAGCTGTTTGTATTGCAAATATTTTTGTTGCTTTATATAGTGTACTGTATGATCCATAGCCGGTGAAGAGCGTCCGAAAGAATTATCCTAAATCTGCCAGAAGCTAACATGGCAGAAACATTGGTGGCACCTCGTGGGAGCCACGTTTGTCACCATAGAAAACTGAGTTCAGCTCAGGGGAAGGCAGAGCGAACACTGAAGGTGTTACTGCGGTTAGATGTACGTGAGGGTGTGCACTGTAAACGACAGGAAGGAAGAGGCCGTTAGGCATACGCGCCGGAAGCAGCACTGCGAGAATGACATGCTGGAAGCATCGCCTTGCGAAAGCGCTGGTGTCACCCTCGTTCCCATGGCCGCGGGGTTGTGAGGGTGTCGCCCCTGTATCAGTCTGCAAGCCGCAGTGAAGCATCCACATGCAGATAAAGGCAGTTCGTGAAGCCCGGTTATTAATTTGGGGTGTAGCTTACCGCCTTCTTTCCGTAGCTAAGGCAGGTTAGATTTGCCATGCATAGATTGTCCTTGACCCCAGTGAAAGCACAGAGATTCTGGATATTACAAAATGGATGTAACCGGTCATATGGTAGAGGGGGCCCACTGTGAACCAATCCATCTATTTTCTGAAACTGCTGATCCGGTTCAGGGTTGCAGCAGATCTGGAACCTATGGGTGCAGCGCAGGGAACAACTTTACTGGGAAGCACTTTGATTGCATATGTTATTACCATGAGGTGAATTTTCCAATTGATATTATTGGATATCAGTTTAAATAATAAAGTGTGTTTCGAAATTAGCTGGCGGAATTTTTTTTTCTGTTGACACGTTTCCTCCTGCGGCGCACGCTGCTCCACCTCATATCATGATTCTCTTTTCTTGTAAGCAGGAGCCATTGTGCTGGCTGATAATTAACTGCATAGATGAAAGCTTTTCTTCAGTAATACCACAAGTTCCTAATCAGCATTAGGGGTGAAAGCTGGTGTGGTGTGGCAGGTTTCACAAGACAGCTGCACGTCTCAGACAATGTGCACTGGGGGGGGGGGGTTTGGGCCAATGAAGTTTTCCCCTCAAAAGATAATGCCCTAGACGACCATCTGTGCCACTCGGTTGGGTTGACCAGCTCTGATTCAGAATCAGAAGTGTGTGGAGCCAGAGCAGGATGTAAAGACCAAAACAGAAGCATGAAACAAGCCATAAAAATTGGTGAACAAACACAGAGAATGAGAGTGTTGTCGAGCAATGCACTACTGTTCCCATAACCCCCCCCACCCCCACCACCAAAACCACCACGCAGGTCACAAGTACACTCGGAAAGCAGATGCGAGATGGAACCTTCTTTTTTTGAATAACATCATTCTAACCCTTCTCTTGCTGATCAGTTTGAGGGAACGCGCTGTTTATTTTCTGCCCTTCTGCTATGAGCCTCGGTTCTCCGTAGCACCAACTTTCATCTAAGATGATGAAATATGACTTAACAATCCCAGTTCAGGCACCATTACAGATTTACTTCTCATAAGTGAAAATGGTGACAAATTTCAATTAAACGAATTTTGGGCATCAGACTGTGCATTAAGTTTGTGTTCAATTTAGGTGCTTCAAGGTCTCAAAATGCTAATATATATATATATATATATATATATATATATATATATATATATATATATATATTAAAAAATTGCTTCCACAGCTGCGAATGACACACAACATAGAAGGTTAAGGTTTTACTTAAAATGCTTACAAAGCAGACTGATCAAATGTATCTATGTAGTCAGTCACCCTCCTTACCGAGGACGTTAAAAAAGTCTCTGAACGAATGAACAATAAAATTCAAACTTCAACCTTATGTACCCTACAGTAATATGGTGAGATCTTTAATACACTAATGTAAACTGAAACATCTGGTAGGTGCAGATAGAGAGAACACACACAAAATCATGCAGGATTGGGATTCTTCCACTAGGTGGCAGAACATTACAATAAGTTCATTGTATCAAACAATATTTGCCATTTTAGCACAAAATTAATTCAAACACTGAATTAATTTAATAGGGCATCTTGATTGTGCAAAACTAGATAATCGATTTAAAAAAGAAAAAAAGATTACAAATATACCCTATTTCGATAATATAAGGTCACTGTAGCATAAACTGAAAACAGATTAAAATTCAGAAAAGGCCTAATAATAAATTAATGGGAAGCCTTTGAGAAACCAGCAAACGCAGAGCGGAAAATGACGTTTCTCACTATGATATAGATGCCGATTCATTGCAGGAGGAGGTGAGATAGATGTGAAAAAAATCTGCAAAGGTTGCCAAACGAGTCCTTTGTGGTGAACGAATAACCCGAACAATGAAGGTTTATCATTCAGCTGGTATCAGTGAGCACATTTTCAGAGAAAGAAGGTATCTATAATGTTCAGCTTTGTCTATCACACATAAATGCAAGTTAATTTGTAACAGTTCAACACAGAGAGAAGTTCATCAGCAGAAACAGGATACCGTCACTGGAATGGCTCTGCTTGTTGGACCAGCCTAATACTTTCCCTGCAAATCGAGAGCAGCACCACTGCCAGCACTGTAAGATCTTAAACACTGCATAACACTTAACTGGAACACTCGAGTTAACCATATTATATGGTTTCCATTGGAAACCATATAAAACCAGTTAGAGTAGCTGAGTGGATTGTCTGATTGAAGGAACAATTGTACACCTCACTGTGTGTTTTGCTATGATTTGTATGCAATTTTACATCAGAAAGCATTAGAAATTAGCATTATTCGAAAACACTCCAGACTGGGATGGAGTCTTTCCTCCCCCAACATACTGAAAACACCCAATGATCCCTTGGGATCACCAGTAAATGTGGGACTATCACTGTCAAACTTCTAGCAGCCTGAACACCATGAAGGACGACTGATCTCATTCAGATTCGATTGGTTCTGCTGCGTGTTTGAATACTAGAGCTGCAGGCTGAACATGTTGAACTCTACTAATGCTGCTAACGGACTTTATCGTCGCCAACTATGAAAATATTTTATCAGTTTTCTGTCACTCTTCTTCGTCATATGACCTGGACTGGCTGAGCAAGTTCAGGAAATGGTCAGGCGGCTGCGGATTAGATCTGGCAGGGCGTGGTCAACACCCGCCTCTTTATCGCGACACACACAGCCCCAAATATGCTGGGTGTCAATTCAGGAAATTACAGCATCGCCACCTGCAAAAATGATATCTGCTTACTCCGTATTTGGAGTTTCCTGTATTCAGCAAACATCAGCACATAACGATGACAACAACAGAAGTGCAACTGGCCATCTGCTGTTTGAAAAAGACTGAGTAAGAAAATGGAAAGTAAGAGGAAATGGAGGCATTATAACTTAAAGGAGGAATGGAGACATCCTGAGTTGTGACATTACGGTGAACTGTGGTAGAATGTGTATGCATACGCAGCACAGATGAATGGACCAACCCTTTTTATAGATTTACAACATTAAATTGTCCAGCACACCCCCCCCCCTTCTCATTAAATGAGGGAGGGGTTTACAAGTAGGACCATACAGAGACAGACGGGCTCAAGTTGGTTCATGATGATTCATCGTGATTCACCACAATTCATTATGACCAGCATTCTTTGAGGCCATTTCAGAACCTCCAGTCCAAGTCAGGTTCCATTACAGATCGTGTCCTGCTGTCCTCACTGCTTGATCTTCTCTACATTGTCTATGGATCCCGTGGGATCCAACTTGTAGAGCATGAAGTGCCCCTGAACCTGAGCGGCGCTCAGCTGGGGCTCCACCCCCAAGGCGAGCTCTGCAAAACGCTCTGCCTCAGCCAAAGGCTCGCTTGGATAGAACCTGCAGAACATCTGGTTCAACTGCCAGCGACTGCAGTGACCCACATACTGCTTGAGATCTACCCGGCCGGGCCGGATCAATGCCGGGTCCAGTCTGGGAGGGGAAAGGTTAGATGAGTTGGCCAGAATTAAATCATTTAACCTTCTAGAAGTATCTAAGAACATTACAGGAACTGCATAGTGTCATAAAAGTTGCTTATGTAATAGCATGTCCAATAGAAATGTTCACCATCATGTGAGGTCTAAGTCATCGTGAAGATAAATTATGACCCTGGTTAGATCCATTTACAACCAAGACTAAGTTATCTGCGGCCAACAGGAATCATGTAAATGTACCGGTCAATGAAGTTGGTGGTCATGAAGACGATCCTGGCTTCCGAGGAGGCCACGCCATCCAGGGCATTGAGGAGGCCGCTGAACGTGAGTCTGCCCATGCCCTGATAGGCCAAGGGGTCTGGGAGGGGAGACAAAGACCCACAACATTTAGTTGGGACAGACCAAGTGTCCAATCACAGCCCAGCTCCTATGAGGAAACACAGTATAACCTCAGTATAATCGGTGCCTGTGCGTCCAAGCTGGCTGTAACCTAGTGTAGTCAGGGGTGGAATGCAAAAGCTATCCTAGTGGTCCCTAAACGGCGGGGAGACGATTTTCTGAATATGCTATAAGAATTTTTGTTTCTTTTCTGTTGGAAACCTCCCCTCCCCCACACTTGGCAAAATTAATAGATTAAAAAGGTTCACAAGACTTGAAGAATGTTTTCTGGGGGTTTTCCAAACAAAAAGTTTGAGAACCACTGCATTATCCCCATGTTGCGCCGATTAGCGAATTATTGATGTTCCTTTTTTTTTATATATAAATTCTCTCACACTTCAGTCTAGCCCCCCATAGAAGTTAATCCACCCCTGAGTGTATTGGAGTGTTATCTTGCACCCTGGCCCTACAGGCAGCCCCTAGGCCCGCCTACTCTCAGTGGGCAGCAGCTCGCGGCTGACGAACGCAGCATCCACATCCTCCAGCAGGACGATGCTCTGCTGTGGGGCCACACTCAGCAGATGGTTCAGACGGTCGTCAGACAGGCTTCGGTCGCTCAGGCTCATCAGACAGATGCTGTAGCCCAGTTCACCAGCCAGCGCTGTTCTGAAGGACAACAAAGGGCATGCTGATCCTCGAGGTCCAGTTCCTATTGGCCATTCCTCACGCTGATCCTCGAGGTCCAGTTCCTATTGGCCATTCCTCACGCTGATCTTTGAGGTCCAGTTCCTATGAGCTATTCCTCATATCTACCTTATGTCATGCAGCGAGGTTCCTCTTTACCAGAGAATCCTCTTTACAATGATCTAGAGTCTGTATTTCATTAAAATGACTAATTCCATCCTAATTTAGCTTGAAGATGTGCCATTTTTTACAGGAATAGACCACCAAAAATGGGCATCAGCATTTTCAGTAGACTGATGGGGGGGGGCAGGTAATAGAGCCAAAAAATCATTAATCACTATTGGCAGAAATCTGTTAGTCTTGCATAAACATCCAGCTTCGTCAATAACCATATTAAATACAGTAGTGCTACTCAAAATATTCTAGATATTCCAAAATTTATTCAAAAAATATAAAAAAGATCAAGAAGAAAAAACTGCAGTAATTACTGTAGCACTAGAAAATTCATGTGCAGTTCATATTGTGACCATGGCATGGCGCCAGTACAGCTGTTCTCATAAGCAACACTTGTATAACGCATGGGTAAGTAAACAGAAAAGATGGCAGGTACGAGTCAGGATGGTTCTCCTAGTACTGTTACAGAGTGCCCCAAGAAAACTGGCAGTGATAATGTTCTGCAAAAACTGAATATTCAAGAAAAAAAATGTACCTAAATATTAAAATATTTGATAGCTGCAGCAACAATATATAAACATTTTGTTTTAAAAATATGTCAAAACAAGGCAGCACAGCCCAGCCAGACCACGTGGGACCCGACTGCAGACTAGGCTCTCACATGAAACTGCTCTTCCCACATCCTGGAGGCCCGTAGAGCAGGTAGCCCCGTCTGTATGGGATACCTGAGTAAAAACACAACACAATGAGGACAGACGGACACTGCCACCTCTGACCCAAACACCCGGTGGTCGGGCACACCCGTGCACCACACCTCGTTCGATGTACCACTTTGGGTGATCGATGAACTCCTTCACGTCCTCCACGATCCGCTCGGCCAGGCCGCGTTCCAGCACCACGGAGCTCAGCGGTCTACGGCGCCGAGGGAACCCGAAAGGCCTCCACTCGGCGCCCATGGCGGTGTACATGACTGTCCGGCCCTCCTCCTGTTTCAGCGCCAGCTCCCTTGCTGAGACGCCATGGAGACAATCAGGCATCAATGTCTATCCACCCCTAGAGTCCACCTTCAGCGAGGGGCTCAGTCTGATACAATGAGACCCACCCTTTGGTGACAAGTTACTGTCCTGATCTGAGTGGTCCATTCACCATTACCCTAATCAAATGCATTATTAACAGTTCCTATGATATAGTACACAATTGGTTGTCTCTAAAGGGTATATCAATGGACATCAGAGCTTATTAATTTAGAGAGTCACCGATCCTTTCCCTGTTTACTCAGTTTAACTGAGCTGCAGAGGAACTGTATTTAAATGAATTGTACATGCAGTTTGAGAATTTATTCCAAATAAAGATGAATATTTATTTACTACAAATATGTCAGGATCTGTATATCTTTAAGGCATGCCTTTAATGGAAAATGTTCAGAACATTTAAGATATTTTAAAGCATATAACCAAATAATCAAACTCAAAAGGTGTACATATGATATACCTTCCTGAAGGATGTTGAAGAAAACTTCCCGGTCCCTCCCCAGGGAGGTGAAAGTCACAGACTCCCAGGGCGTGCCTGTGTTCAGGTTCAACATCTGTTTTTCCCTGGTTCTCTCTACCCTGATCCATTTGTGCTTGTACCTGATGCAGGACAGTGGGGGCCTCTGCAGTTAAGGTGCTGCGACCACAAATATTAAATACACAAATACCAACACACAGTTCACATCGGGCAATGCTGATACCGCGGCATCTAAAAAAATCATCCTCAACAGTTTAGAACGGTTCCCTTCTCTCGGACACGTCCACCTCACCAGATGATATGGTTCCCGGGACTGGGGTGGAAGTCAAACTGCGTGTGGATACGCCCACTCTCATGCTGCATGTAAGACGTCTCCACGCTGAGGTGCTGCGTATGCCGGGCGTGCTTGGTGATCCAGTTCAGCAGCCAGTGGTAGCTCTTGTCACGACTGGGCACCTCCAAGGTAATCATGTAGTGGCGCCGAAAGAAAACCATCCCCACCTGAGCCCCCTTCCTGGCCAAAGCGAGTGCCGTACCCACGCCAACCAAGCCAAAGCCAGCCCCGAAGTAGGGGTTGTCCTTCAGAGCCCCCAGAAAATCCGCTAAAGGCATGGCAATATTGCCAAGGAATCAAAGGCACAGCTCAGGGATCCAGTCTAGAAAACAACCTTAACGTCAAACGCAGGGGAGAGTCCAAAGGGTATTCTGAATTGATATCGTCTACGATTTCCACATGGCATATGTTTATGCGATCCCTAAGTTGTGTCGTTCAGATATTTAGATAATCTACAGAATGTGTTGTTCATGTACCGATTTCGTTTTGGTAACTATAGTGTTATGGTCCCTGCGATTCTTACGTCTAGCTATGAGGTTGAACGTGGTTGAATACGTTGTCTTCATCACCAGTGACACTGCCGCAAAAACCATTCGAAACAGGGACAGTCTTTAGAGCTCCTCCAATACAGCGCAACCGGCATCGTTCACATTCAATCGGAGTCATGTGGCGACCTCTATTGTACTTCCGGTGTTCTGCAGTTAAGGTCCTCCGTCTGCTACACTGTACGACTCAATAGTTCCTAGGTTATGCTCTTTAGAATATTTTTGATTGTGCAAAACATCAACTTAGTACTAATTATTCTAACTCAAATATTTAATATTTCTTAAATAAATAAAGTCTTTCCAAAATTGACAAATAAATTAAAACTGTCATTCTGGTTTTGAATATGAGTAATAGGCAAAAGTACCCACTAACCAAGTAAACAGTGGTGAAAGAGTGGGGACTATAAAAATAGAAGAATCAGAATCAGAATCAGAATAAGCTTTATTGCCAGGCATGTTAACACATACGAGGAATTTGTTGTAGTGACAAAACTCTACAGTGCAACAGAAAGACAGTGACAAGGCAAGACACAGGTAATAAAAAGAGTTATATACAGATATACAAAGATATACAAAGTAGCGTGCAAAATAGCAAAAAGACATTCCAGTATGACCAGGTATGATGTGTTTGTATAGGTATGTTGCTATGTGCAAATATGAAAAATAAATAAGCATGTGTGTTAAATGAATAATTTGTTTTAGTGTTGTGTGTATCACGTGTATTGTTAAGTGTACTGTACATGACATTGTTAAGTGTTCATGACATGGACTGCCTGGGGGAAGAAACTGTTCCTGTGTCTGGTCGTTTTGGTGCTAAGTGCTCTGTAGCGTCGACCAGATGGCAGCAGACTAAAGAGGGAGTGTGCTGGGTGTGAGGGGTCCAGGGTGATTTTGCTCACTGGATAAGTACAGATCTTGGAGAGTGGGAAGGGATGTTCCAATGATTCTCGCAGCAGTCCTGACTACCCTCTGCAGTCTTCTAAGGTCAGATTTGGTAGTTGAGCCGAACCAGACAGTTATAGAAGTGCAGAGGACGGATTCAATGATTGCGGTGTAGAACCGTATCAGCAACTCCTGTGGCAGGTTGAATTTCCTCAGCTGACGAAGGAAGTATAGCCTCTGTTGGGCCTTTTTCACAATGGAGTCAATGTGAGTGTCCCACTTCAGGTCCTGGGAGATGATGGTCCCCAGGAATCTGAATGACTATTGTAGCCACAGTGCTGTCCATGATGGTGAGTGAGGGGAGAGCAGGGGGGTTCCTCCTGAAGTCCACGATCATCTCCACTGTTTTGAGCGTGTTGAGCTCCAGGTTGTTAAGACTGCACCAGGCAGCCAGCTTTTTAGCCTCCTGTCTATAAGCAGACTCATCACCGTCCTGGATGAGGCCGATGAGTGTAGTGTCGTCTACATGTCAAATAGTTGTTTAGTTATTTTGGTAAATATATAGTTTTCCCTTAACATAAACAATTTTCATGATGATGGCAGGTATAGAAAATGGTTGGATGGTGCAACAAACAGATTTAACTTTCTGTGATGAGGTGTTTATCACGCTGACTTCAGTCAGCTGAGAATACCTACAGCATACATCCTAACTGGTGACTACCACCACCTAGTGGTCAGAGTAATTATCAGCACTTAAAATGCTATCCAAAGCACAGTGCGTCACACGTCAGTTTATCTTCATCCAGCTCTTTCGGTTCACATAAAGATTAGATTAGGGTTAGATCTTTGTCACGTGATAAAGTCGTGCCTCTAAAATGCTGGGGAAAACCCAGTAGTCAATTAATAGACAGTCCTGGATTAGTTGTTACACATTCTGCTGCTACAGAACAACCACCAGCTGCAGCCCCTTGTGAAATTTAAGTAGTTACTCTTCCAGCCAGTGGTGGTTCTATCTTGTAGAACCCTGTCCATTCACCCCTGTCATTTTTATTAGGAAATTTGGAACAATATATATAAATAATGATAAATTTAAAACTGATTTTACTAATTGCATTAGTACTGTACAAAGTTAGTGGTGCGCTATTTGATAGATTCCCCTGCTCCCCCTACCTGAGGTCAGCCCAGCCCCGCCCCCACTCCCCATCTCGTACTTCTGAATGGTAGCTGCCTAGCTCACAATCTAGAATCAATGGGTGGCTGCCCACATCATCCAGGCCTAAATCCGCCAGTGCTTCCAGTATTAGGCGGTGTCAGAATACCACAGACTGAGTCAGCCTAATGCTGCATCCCACCCTTGGTCACTGAAGCATTTATAACCCCGCTAGGTTCTCCAAAGAGCGTCTGGAAAAGTAGGGCTGGATCCACACTGCCCAGCTGTGCCGCGACATTAACCATCTGTGGCTCCACCATTCCCATATAGGTGTTCTTTGAGGTATTTTCCCCAAACTCATTATTCTGACTCTACATCTACACCCTGACCAGTCTCTGAACCAGAGGGTTAAAAGGCTGCTCCTGATAAACACTCTTCAAACCCCGCAGACGGAACCTGAAGAACATGGATGGGAAGTTAACCAGGAAGAGAACATCAGAGCACATTTAATATGTGCTTAAGTTTCTATTTCTCACAGATTTTATTAGAAATGTACATGATTTTTTTCCCCCAACCTCCCTTGTTGCATAGCTACAGAATATTTACAGTACAGGACCTTATTCTCTCTTATCTCAAAACATTCTTTGGGCACTGCACAAGAGGGGCTCTACCTGCAGATAAGCAAGCACGTTGGAAGGAGCTCATCTCTACCAGAGACCACATACAATTGTGGCCTTTGCGGTAGAGACTGCCACTCCTGCATTGGTCTCTTTAGCCACAAGCAGCGCTGCTCCAGCTGAGCAGACAACCAGGACACCTTGGATGCATCACCATGGTCAGCCCTGAGTGACAGAGGCCTATATAGAGCCGCTGCTCCTCCGCATCGAAAGGAGCCAGCTGAGGTGTTTCGGGCATCTATGTAGGATGCCTCCTGGACGGCTCCCTGGGGAGGTTTCGGGCATGTCCAACTGGGAGGAGGCCCCGGGGCAGACCTAGGACATGCTGGAGAGATTATGTCTCTCGGCTGGGCCTGGGAATGCCTTGGTATTCCCCCGGAGGTGCTGGAGGAGATGGCTGGTGAAAGGGAGGTCTGGACATTCCTGCTTAGACTGCTGCCCCAACCCTGGATAAGTGACAGATGATGGATGGATGGATGGATGGATGGATGGGGGTAGGGTTTTTGCCAACAAGGGGGCTGAAGCAAATTTTAAGGGGAGCTTAACCTCGTTATTTTACTACCAAAAGTAGACTACTACTATTTTACCCCTGGCTACATGCCCAATTGATAACGAAAAAGTTTGTGGGGGGTTTGGGGAGGGGTTATACCCATATTTTTACCATGCGATTACATACCTGATTCTGATAAATATTTAGGATGATTAAAATGAACCAAAATGACTTTAAATGAACAATTAAATAAAAATGTTGAACTTGTCTACTTCTCGCTGTGTGAGATTGCTATGGTGTCTCATAGTGGTGGATTCAATGTAACAGAAAAGCAACAGTACTTTCACATCTTGTGAAAGGTTAGGATATCTTGATTGAGTGATTTTGCTGAGATATATTAATCTCTACAATCTAACAATTTTTAAATTATTTTTATTTGAAAACAGAGATTGGATACATAGATACATGTATACAGAGAAACAACTGGTCAGCTGTTAATGCAGGAATTCTCTGATAGGGTGAACGTCAGTGGATTCAGGTTCTGTGTCTAGAAGATTGTGGGTTCAAAACCCATGTCTGGCAGAGACATCACATGACCTGTGGGCCCTTGAGCATGTGCTTTAACCCCAGCAGCTTCAAGGATGCTGGCTGACCTCAGGTCTTCCTCACCTGTGTGATGCTTCGGACAAAAATGTCCACTAAATAAATGAGTATAACATAATACCTTAGAGGTCGATATAAATAATATACAAGGAGCGCATAATAAAAGTATAAAATATTTAATATGAAAACACTAGCAGCAAAATGGATATGTTTTGTATAAAATCATTAGTCAGATACCACACTCAAAAAAGGCGTGCCTTGCTTTGATGCGTACCACCCAGAGAATTCACGGTTATTCTGGAAGGTTGATGTTGAAGCACATAGTAATGTAGGACAACATGTGCATCGCTTTGGTAAAAAGTGAAAATGACGAGTAATAGAAAGCCACTGACTGACATTTAAAGTCCTGCTAGTAAGCTTAGGGACTGTAAGGTATTATGGTGCCCATGAGCAGGATAGAACTGACCATTAGATAATACCCAGCACTACAAGACGGGGACTCTGGTTTTTAACTTGTGTCCTTAATCAGTCAGTTTGGTTTAAGTTGTAGTAGTTGCAAAATCATTATTTTTCTGCCATCTAGTGGCACACTGATTAAAATGATTTAAATTACACATCATAATTTTCAGGGTTCTAATTATATGTTTAAGCATCATAATTGATTATGTGAAGTACAATTTACATATATTTCATAGCAGTATAGTGATCTCAAAATTAACCATCCCCCCAAAGGTATTAAATACTAGAGATTAGCAAAGTAGAAATTGATTCCCAAGACAATAAGATAGCGCTAAGCTCACTATACAGGCTGAACTCCTCAGTGCAATTTTTGGCGCACTAATACTTAGTAACCAACATTTAAATTTGCTGATTTGGTGGTATAAGAAGTGTCCCTAGTGTGGATCCAGAAGCAAATTCTCTGGTGGATTGGGGCTAGGTGAGAAGTCCACACCTCTCATTTGACCTCTCATCTGAAGGTTAACTTTAACAAGTCTCATTTCAGAAGGTGCCATGACAACAACTGCTGGAATGTCTCATGTCATGGTCCATTAGATGTCCCATCTCTTCTCGGTGATGTCATCTTTCTCCCGTAAGCCTGTTGACATTGTCTCATGCAAAATGTCACAACCGAAGCGCCATTAAATATTCAATACATTTGTTACATCATAGGTTCTTTAAACACTGCCATTTAGAGAAGTTTCCTTTACCTGTCCGCTTGGCCATAATTTGAAGGCTACTAATGCGGTCCATCAACAAATAATGTCATTTTTTGCACGTGAAACTGGAATAAATAGCACAGCAATTCGCACATATATCTTAATAACAGATTCGTAGAGACTTCTGTGCAATGTCAGCCTAATAAATGCGTTTCTCCCGGTCGCACACGCGGCTGCTCGGATTTAGCTGCCTCTCGGCTGCGTGTCACACCGCTTTCGTTATCCTGACGTGAACAAACAGTGACGATGGTGGAATGGTGGTCCCATCTTTGGACAGCAGGTGGATATGACGATATCCTGGGCACAGAAGGATAAAACATTGTAAACGAACAAACAAACAAATTAATAAATTGATGTGATCAAAGATAAACACTTTAGTTTAGCTACATTTACAGAGTCTGTGCGGCTGATGTTCCTATGTCCTTGAGTTGAAATCCCCTTGGTTTGCATTATATGTACATGATGTTGTCTACATCATCTGTTTTGTTAAATCAGACACCAATGTCAGTCCTGCTTATATGGGACACCAGTTAGAAGCCAGGTTCATGCTAACCTTGCTGAATGGAAGTGAAAGGGAGGGTGTACTGGCCAACAAAGTCATTCTTGGAGGTCTTGTCATAATCCTCGACTACAAAGCGCACCAGGGCGAGCTCGGGTGCGTGGATGGTGAACTGCAGAGTGTCGTTCCACACCGGGTTGAAGCCTGCCCAGGAGACAGCGGTCAGCCGACAGCCCACATGCATTTGCATGGTTTGTGTGGTGGATGAAGGCTACGGGTGAAGGTGCCCCTGACCATTGTTGTCGATGTATTTGGTCTCCTGCTTGGCCTGGTCCACTGGCACACCATGGATCTCCACTCTCACCAGGGGGTCCACAATAGAGCCCTCCTTGATGTTCACTTTGGGAAGCTGCTGTCCACTGATCACCTGGGAAGGTTGATATGCACATTCACTCCAAGCACCGGCTCTTCAGCAGAGGTTCCACTCACAGCCCCATGACATGCAGTTCAAGTGATTTGATGACTCTAAACTGCCATTACCGGAGGAGTGGACCTTTCTGAATTATGCACACTGGATCGATATTCAACCTAACATGTATGCTGCCAGAGGACTGGATTTCGCATGACTTATTGGACTTATTATATTATTACATTGTAAACAAAGAGCATATTTTTCTCAGGGGCATGATCCAAAGATTATTTTTGCAGTACCATTTATTCTTTAATGCTTAATTGAACTCTGCCTACATTAATATTGAAGAACAGGCAAGCCATCAGCTAACAGAAGACAGAGAGTAACTGCTGATTACATCAAATGTAAAAGTTATTCAGTAATTTTAGTTGTGACCCAAATAAGTTTCCCCAATGACAAACATCCAAGTTCCTCTGACGTTCATCTAAACAATACAACAGGCAGAACAATAGCATTGAGTTGTGTTCGGGAGTGTTGACAGGTGTGGAAAGGCCTCCGGCCGGTTGCATAGGCAGGCCTCTGTAGCATAGGCAGGCCTCTGTACCTGGATAGAGAGGCTGACAGGCTGATAGTCGTCGCGTTCGTGGGCAATCTCTGGCTCATAGTGCCTCTCGCAGATCCTCATGAACTCGGGCTTCAGGATGTAGCCGCAGTGGCCATTCTGGCTGAAAAGGCCGTCGTTAAGGTCCATCTCCACTCCTGCCGTCTGGAAGTTCAGAGCGACTGGGGGAAACCAGATGAGGCCAAAGTGAAAGATTTTTGGGGTCACAGCCCATGAAACTCCAGGGCCCAATGTCTATGTTTGCGGGCCTTAGTTATTACATTGTATTTACCTTTACATTCAAAATTCAACTATTATACATACAGTAGTCTACTACCGTGACCAACATAAGCAGTTCAATGTTGGATGGATGAATGAATTTTACAATGTATGCATTACATGAATTAATTTAATTTCATTAATATAGGGACAAGAAGCCAAGAAGGCCTTTACCTATTTGGCACCCCACGTTCCACATCTCCTGTGGGTTAAAATTAGACGAGTCTGTTCTCAGGCCACTGGGGTACACTCTGGTCAGCTGCCTGGCATTGTGCTGCACAAACTCTACCCCTGGTGGGCAAAGCGATACAGGGTTACCACCACAGACCAGCGCCACATTCCACAGGCAACCACTGCAGTTCCTCTATTTATTTTTGGAAAAGCAGAAGTACCGTGAGTGCAGTTGTGGATTTCTTCCTGTCTTTTGGCTTACCTGCCTCCTTGATGTATTTCCGTGCCTTGGACTCGGCGAAAGAGGAGATCTCGTAGAATTTGGAATAAAGGCGTGAATGCTTGAAACTACTGAAGTGGACGCTCTTGCAGTACACCACACATTCAGACAGCTCCTTGGAGAGACGCTGCTTTGATTTCTGAGAAAGGAACATCACGCGTGCCAAACGGGAAGCTCAAAATTAGCTTACTACTGCATTTCATGAATGATTGATGTGCGAGTGGGATGTAGCGTAATGGGATTCTTCCTAATGCCTAAAGTTATTATGTGATGACGCTGTACTGTTGGAAAGATTTCAGACGGGAGTCACTTAGACGATTGCAGTGCACTGCAGTGTAATTGCAAAAAATTAAATTTTCAAGCTTGTAGTTCCTTGACTTGGATTTACTGGCCCCAAACTAATCCTAAGAGAGTGTCTGATACCCTATCAGAAGGCTGTTTACATGGAGGTGGCACGGATCATAGCCTGCCAGTCAAGCTCCAGTCACTGTGGTGCCAAACTTATTAGCGATGCTATCAGGGTGCCCAGTCGACACCCGCCCTTTGGGAAACTTAATCCCCATCCCTCAAACGGACCAGGACTCAGAACTAGTGCCCACAGACACACAGGCCACCATCAGGGTCAATTACACCAAGCCCTCTAGCAGCACTTGGCTATAGTTTGCAGCAGATGGCTTTACTGATAAAACAGAAGGACCAACCTGCTACCACCAGTTTACAAAGCTTTGTCGTCTTTGAAATGGACCCAACAAAAATGCGTATCATCAGCTACTACAACTGTTATTAAAAATATATAAAGAAAAATAGTCAATAATATGTAAAAATTCATGGTCAGCCTATTATTACAGTTTCCAGGTTTTGGAAGACTTATTTTCTTCCAAGAAAATTGGTATCAGTTACGGTCTTTAACAAGGAATGACCTTCTCACTGCCTGAACGCAGCCAGTGTGTGCATGTATCTTTGATGAGGGATGAGAGATTACGCAATATGTGTCAGGCAGCGGCAAAAGAGAGAAGACGATCAGCTTTGGCTAGCTTGATGACAATGGTGACTTTCTTTGAACACTATTAGCTGGTTATTAATTATTAGCTGGTTTGTCTTTCAAACTCAGAAATCAGGCGTGGATTGAAAACTCAAACTTGGAGACCATAATGAATAGCTTAAATGTTGCATTACATTGAGTTATGATGGAATCCCCAATGAAGCCTTTAAGAGAATTTTGAAACCAGGGCTCCAGTAGACTCTGTGTAAGCTGGGCATGTAGCAACAAGGTATTGATGCTGTATTTGAAGTATATAAACCTTTCAATTTTATTGATATGGGTGTCGCACCTCAATGGACATTCAATGGGTAGAAGTTCCCGAAGTCCCGTCCCTAACCTTTCCCTTTCGCCGAATGCTCTCAGCATGTGGGTGGTCCTCGTCGATGTCAGCGACCTCGTCCTCGTCGCTCACCTCCCCCATCATGGAGTCCTCTACTGCCCCATTCAGACTTGCCTCCAGTCCTCCAATCTTCTTCCCCTTCAGCAATATCTTTCCCCTCAGCTCCTGTAAGGGGGATCGAGTGGAGATTGCATGGAATGGTGCCCTTTTCTGACATCACAAAAAATATATTGGCATTCCTTTAGGATAATAGCATTTATTTGACTCATTTCCTGTTTAAATTAAACAGTACAGGTTAGATCTTATTCCAAGATACAGCTCACATAGCATTTCATCGATCTCCCTAAGTGCCTTTCTGGGAAAATGGACAACGATTATCTACAGCACAGAAGCCTGCTTTCCAGAGAACAGCTAAAGATAAGCTACCCAAACTATTTATACCGTCCATCATTACCCAACCATGTGATTAGTTGTGTGGCCCTATTATTACATATGAGAATGTTCATGGTTTTTAGTTTGTTTGTTATCCACGTTTAGCATTCGTAATAGACATTACACCTTAAAAATGTTAAGAGGGTTACTATCTCCAGCAGAGCAGTGTTGTAACTGGGTTTAGAAGCCATGAGCGGAGGAATGTGGGGGACGTATCTGGCCTAAGCGATATTTTGTGGGGCCACCTCACCATGATACTGCAGCCCTAAAAGTTCACTATTGGCATAAGTCTCATGCCCCCAAACCAAAGACATAATGGCAACGTGCTGCAGTGCGGATGAGAAAGAGCTCCTCCACCTTTTACCATTGAATCCCTGTGTGATCAGCTGTTTCTGGTTCTTGTCATTAGTCCTCTGTATTTCGTCCACGTTTCAGTTTGCTTCCCCAGTCCGGTCATTGTATTGTCCGTCTGCGTTTTCCCTGCCTTACCTGTAATTAAACCCCATATTCCCCGATACCCTGACGTCTGCGCCTTTGTCTCCGTTCCGTCCCCGCTCGGCACAACAATATTATTATAATTAAATGTATGAATGGTTTATTATTAATATTAAAATAATTAATAAGAAATCTTTATTTTTAAATGTATTTTATTGTATAATAATAATTACTGTTACTATCATTGTCTAAATGTATTTTTACTGTCTAAATATATGTATTCAGCAAGTGTAAACATGGACGATGCTATCACAGCAAATGTGAGGCTGAGACTGAAGCTTTACCCTTTGTTTCTGCTGAGAGACGTGCCGCGTGACTCATTTCCCCGCGCGTACAAGTTATCTTAGGTCGGCATTCATGGTTTGACTTCTGAGATTCAGATCGAGTTGTAGGTCATTTTTTTTTCGAACTGGTTGGTTCGACTTTTAAGAAATTTGAGTTCTAATGAGTTCGAGAACTGAGGTACCACTGTATAATCAAATCGTTAGTGTCATCAGAGCACATCAACACTGATTAACATAAGGGACGCATGACAAAATCAAGATCATCATGTACGAATTTTTCAAGGCACGGTTCTGAGACATCGTAACACATCATATTTCATATCGCAATATGAGAGTTAATCTTTTGCCTAATATTGCTACTGTACTTCTGGTGCATGAGCGTCGTTCACTCTCGCCAGGGTGAATGGCACTCATGTTCACCTTCACTGCCTGCAAAATGATTAGTTTAGTTCACCAGTCACCAAAAATTCAAGCGCGTTCATGCCCACTCACTGATTTCAACGCGGCTCAGCTGACGTACAAGCAGCGGCCTCACCTCAGGAGACGGCAGCCTGTACTGATTCGGGCTGCCCACTGTACTCCTCAGCAGCTTGTCGTCCAGGATATGATTGAGGTGCTGGGCCATCACTCTCTGTTGCTCTAAACTGCAATGGTTCTCAATGGACAGTATGACGGGATAGTCGGATATCTGTAAGAGGGGACAGTGTGCTTCACAAATGGGAGCTCATCATGTGAGGGAAAAACCCTAAGACAGGGATCTCCAACTCCAGTAGGTTTTTTTATCCTACCTGCCTTCTGATGAGCCACACATGTTCTCAGGTAAATACCAGGAATAGGTGAGGCTCATCAGAAGCCAGGTGGAATAGAAAACCTACTTGGAGACACCTGCACAAACAGGTCAGCTGTAACCCAGGTCACCTAGAAAACAGACAGCGTGGAGGTTTACACACTGGTGCTGTGGATGCTGCTGGAACCACCTACCCCGCTGCCCCCTCACCTTGAAGGCATAGTTCCCCAGTGCAGTGATGACGTCCTTGAAGAGGATCTTGGACGTGAAGGTGTGTCCATGGTACACGATGGGCTCCCCATTGGGTCCGTCCCAGCAGTCCACCTCCACGCAGCGACAGCCCCGCTTCAAGGCCCTACAGAAGCCAAACCAAGAGAGGCACCCATGTAGCCTTGTCCTTTACTTGAGTTCTAGAATGTTCTAATTCTTCCATCAGCAGGAGATCAAAAGAGCTCCTACCCAAAACAGATACAATAGCAAACATTCAGTTGGAATCACCTTCAGTAAAACTGACTAATTGTTAATTAACTAAGTATGTGGTCATGATCATTGATTGGAATGTGCATGGGTGAGCTGTGGTAATTACTGAATTAAGTAGAAAGCACGCCTGTAAGTTTGTAGGCCAATGAGGGTTTAAGAGTTTTGCAGAAAGACAAGGAGAGGAGACCAGAGGCAAAAATGCAATAGTATAGTGCCTCTTTAAATATAGTGCCCTACCGGATGTAGCCCTCCACACTGCTCTGGCCCCGTAGCTGGTCCTCCAGAAGGTAGGTGTTGTGGGAGGAGGAGATGAAGTAGTGGCACAATGGTTGGTTCATGTCTTGGTAGACACCCCGATGCTGAGGGTTGAAGATAGAGCCCTCTGGCGAGACCAGGTACATCAGAAAGCCATCGATGGACATGGCGTTGAGCATCTTGGCTGTTGACCAATTACACAACAATTAGATGACCAAAATATTTTTGATTTTCATGCACATATTGTTTTAGTTTAAAGAATCCCAGTTACAGCACATTCAAATGCTGTGCAACTGATTACACTTTTTTGGGTCCAATTCAAGCAAGTTGTCCAGCCTCAGATATTAATGAGTCTCCAAAGTCACCTGGCATTAATACTGATATAGTCAAGTGCCTTCCATAGCAATATAATTGATTGCCATCAGTACAGAAAACACATAACTGTCAGTGCCCATTTCAATATATCTAGTCAATACTTGCATTTCTTACTGTAACTAGCAGTAATTAGCTAATGATATGTGTTACTAGCTGCTATATTCATCTACCATATTTTCAGTGATAATATAGTTCTCATATGGCTATATCCAAATACCAAACTATATTACTGATATAAGGCTGATATTACTATAATATTGTAGGTCTCTGCCCTCTGTTCCCATACACAGTATACACTGTAAAAATGTATCGTGCCAGTTTCCGAGGGCTCGTAGCGCTGAATGAGCTCCAGGGCACGTTGCTTTCCTCGCAGGCCTTCCAACTGCTCCTCGCACAGGAACTCCTCCAGGTCCTGCAGGGTCAGCTTCTGTCCGTCGCTGGAGTACTGCTGGAATATCCTGAGGACGTCATCCCTCTGCGTGAGCATCTTGTAGAACAGCACAAATTCATCGCCCTCCAGTGTGCCAGACCGGGAACGGTCTGCCATCTGCGGACAGGAGACAGGAGACCTTCAGATCCTTACTGCTTTATTGGACATAAGCAGGGGAAACAATGCAATTTTACGGGCGTTGGTTTAGGGATAAGCAGTCGGGACAGGTCCCCGCCAATATTGTGGGAGGACCATGTGTGTTCAGGGGGGGAAGGGGTCGGGGCTAATTGGTATTCCTACCAATGCTGAAACCACCCTTGTGCATTCTACATACTGTCTATGCTATATATATATATATATATATATATATATATATATATATATATAGCAAATTGTACATTAGAAATATATAATATGAAACTTAAAATCTATAAGGAGCTTTATTATTAAATTTGCAAATTGCATCTTTAACAATATCTATAATCTTTTTTTATGTATTAAGAGTACTTTATAACTTCTAGCAGGAAAGGCTAATAAATGATTACTGAAACATCCACAAAAGAAAAGATAAACTTTTCTAATTCTTAACATTCTGAAATGTTTAAATGATTGGAACAGCTGCAAAAATCAAAAGCATTTACAAAAGTATCAATGATTACTTTTCTACCGAGATTATGTTTCTATATAGATTATATGGTTTTCGCCAGTATAACTTATTTTCATTTACAAAGACTAATTGTGCTCCAGCTATGGCAAAATATGCCCTGTAATTACATACTTGTATAGTCGTATACTTTTGGAAGTGAGAGGCTGATTGGACAGAAAATCTGGAAATGCGTGCAAACGCACTGTGAAAAGGCGGCGAGCGTGGTCCTCGTTCATGTCCACGTTCATCATCTTCAGCAGATCCTGCACCTCTTTAAAGTTCATTCTTCCATCCCTGTTTTTGTCTGCCTTCTTGAACCAGTCACAGATCCACCTAGGAGCTCACTTAAGGGAAATGGCTGCTGTTAATCATGTAAAACCATCTGAAACACAAACTCCTCACACATGTATTCCTTCAGTTATTCTTCTGCATATTAAAACCAAGGGACCTGGTTCTGGTAGGCCACTATGTCTATCCATGAACTTTAGAACTAAGCACTTAATAGGTACCGTATAGTACAGCAGATTAGAGCTCTGTACCTGTGACTGAAAGGGTGGTGGTTCAAATCCCGGGACCAGCAGACTGATGCCACCATCGGGCCCCTAAGCTAGTTCCTTAACCCTCTGACAGGGGCTTTGCACACTGGCTGATCCTCCACGTTTTGCTCTCACCTGGGTGTGTAGGTCTCACAGCAGAGCAAAATGCCATATGTACTTGTGCAAATGGCAAATAAAGCATTATCTTTGAATAATGAGGTTTCTGGAGATTTAAGAACAAATGAACTACTGAATGGACCTATATCAGGGGTGGCCAATCTTATCCAGAAAGGGCCGCAGTGTATGCGGGTTCTTGCTGCAACTCCCTAATTAGATTACTAATTAGAGGACTGATAATATGAAGAGTCCTCACACCTGGGTTTGAACAGCTGACCTAAAGGTTATCCCAGAAACCCGCATACACACCGGCCCTTTGCGGATAAGATTGCCCATCCCTGAACTATATGGTAAAAGTTCTACCCTATGAAGAGTGTCTCAGGTGATGAATGCAGTGAAGGATACTGGTCAAGCTTCTCCCGCTGGCCCATGTTCTCCACATTCTCAATTAACTTCCTCATGCCCTTGATCCAGGTCTGAGCCTCCTCTGCTGACTCAGCCACCAGGTCCAGGTTGCCACGACGCCCACGGAAGACGAGCGTGAAGCAGCGGTCGGCAGGGAACTCGTCGGCGATGCTCAGCAGTACTTCTGATTGGTGTCCCTCTCTCACTGCCTCCACATCACTCACAGAAACTAGGAAGGGAGCAGGGAAGACTGTCACTGATGGCTATTGGTAACCTCATGAGTCCCAGTTCCGTATAAGGATCTTTCTAGAATATTTCAAATCTGCCTTGAATGGTGGAAAGCAGGAACTACTCACATGTAGAGTGGGCGTTCCCAGCTTTCTTGGACTTGTACCAGATGGTCATGCAATCCTCCTGCAGCTTGAAGTAGCGCTGCTTCTTCCACGTCCGTGACTTGATCTTCCTCATGACTGTCCCCACGATCATGGACTGCAGGTTGTCATCTCCCTGGATACCTGACAAATTGGTATGAAAACACTATTATGACCTCATCTTTTCCTATTATTATTTTTAGAATGATCTGTATGAGCTGCTCTATAATTAGCCGAACAATGTCATTTGATGGATCTCCGCCAAACAAACTTACGCAGGCTGCTTTGAGTTGAGGCCATTTGTTGTTTGGTCACGCTTCTGGCATTTGCTATAGACAAAATAACAGCACAGTTAAGCTAGATGTAAACAAAATCTAAACAAACACTAGTGTCACATTAGCATCAAAAATCCACAACTGGCCTCATCCCATCCAGACTTCTACCCCAGCTTTGTGTCCTGTGCTACTTCGGATAGATTCCAGGTCTCCCTGCAACCCTGACCAGGATATGCAGTTAGAGGATGCACAGCTGGATGGATGGATGGATGGAAGGAAGGAAGGATATTCTTAGCCCGAGAGAAAACTGTATCATATGAGAGTTTTCTGGTGTGAAGTCTTCAGTTGTTCCTCACATATACCTTTCCCCATATATATTTATAATTGTTTGTCCTGCTGCAAAGGAATGTTGTCCACTTTGATGGACACCTATGGGAATGCTGTCCACTGATGACTAACAGCAGCGCTGTGGTGACCCAGTGTGTGTTTGGGCGGTGGCTAGTGCAGCCTTACTCCCGCCTGCCTGATCTAATCTAAACAAGCTGTGCCTGGCTGCCTGAACCCCACCTAAACAAATCACGAGTCATTATCTCTGTGCTCTCTGACTGCTGGCTCATGACTGCTGACGTATGGAAAAGGCCATGCTCTCCTGCTTTCACGATTATTGGATCTGGATCGTCTCCTTCCTGATTCTCATCTGCAGGCTTTCTCGGAAACTGAAGGATGGGCTAAAAAAAGGAATCATAGGCAAGCTCTTTTCCTCATGTAGGCAGTGACCACTTTGTCCCCTGTCTCAGAGTCGGCCTGCTTTAGGAGGAGGCCTGACTTTAACGGTTGTATCACTCAGTCCTTTTCATTTCTTCTCCATCATTACGCTTGTGTTATCTAGTCATTGTAACAGCTAATTAGAAAGCAAGAAATTGATCATTCCTCTGTGAATCTTTCATGCCCCTCTTTAACAAAACTGAAATGTATTTCACTGTTTCATGGTACACTATAACCTTTTTCAAAAAAAAAAATTACACACAATCTGCTAAATTGAAAAAATTTGAAAATACCATAAAACATGCAGCAAATGATTTCCATTTCTGAACACAGGCCAGCTTTAATCATTGCTCAAAATGTCACATCCTTGCAAAAGTCTATCGATAAACATCCCTGCCTTGACTGCACAACCAGACATGTACAAAAAAGAAGCAATCCAGTCCCAAGCAGATACAGACACTCTCTCCATAAAGGCCTTTTCACGAGGAGCTGCTTCTGGGACTTGGAGCCATGTGCTCTGACCCTTTGTGTCCCTTCATAAAGGATCCAGACAGGAGGCAAATCCTGCTGTCAGCTGACATCATGTCTGAAAAAGAGGGACTCAGTCCCTCTGCCAGGAAAACGCCACACGGAACCTAGTAAGGATGTTTATTCACAAAAGCCTCATTGCTGTAAAGCTGAAATAGGCCGCTTCATAAACACATGTAGCATCAGCAAGACAAGAGACACCTGGTGCTCTTAAAACAGGTGTCCTGAGTTCCAGGAAAGAGAAACAGTTTATCTCTCATGATAAAAATAAGCAAAAATGTTTAAGCTAAATACTTCCCCTGTCTGTGTTAGATAAGCAGCAGGAAGATTGATGGATGGATGGATAGAAGGGTTGTATCACTAAGGTTCTTGCCTGTTTTCATACAGTGATTCACAAACTTATTTAAAATACATGTTTGACTTATTATGCCAAACAAGCAGCATGACGAGACCAGTGAGAAAATACAAGCACGGCAACCATTAACTGCCTGACACCTAAAGGCTAATCAAAAATGTGATCAAGCAACCTCCTTAACCATTCGAATAATGAAAAAAATGAAAAGCTTAGCAAGCAACGTCGTGCAACACCGTGCACTACTTTGAAAGTTTCTATTACATTCTGTGGACGTTCTTTCCGTTGGATATAACTCCTAGAAACCAATGCTGCTTATAGCTTATCACACCCTACTGCTGCCACACTCACCTGCGCTGCGACGCACATCCGCGACTCGTAGAGACAGGATGGGGACTGAGACCTTAGCGCACCACCCATGTGACAGGACACTGAGAAATCTCAGGGTGGGGGGGGGGGGGCAGGAGACACTCACCGGCTGGAAGTGCATCCCCCACGACCGTGCTGCTGTGGAGCTGTAGGGTCCGGGAGTGGCGCAGGAGCGGCGGCCCAGTGTGCAGCACAGGCTGAGTGCCCCCTCCCCGCTGGGCTCAGTCCGACAGGCTGCTGGCGCTCTGAGAAAGCCGATCCTCAGCGACAGCACCCCTTCACTCTCACGCGGCCGGCCTACTCCTCCTCCTCATCCCTCTCTCTCTCTCTCTCTCACGTCCTTGTGTGACTCTTGACTCTTCCCCCCATATTGTTTGCTTTCCATTCTCACCCTTTGTATACTTTGCAGGGTCCCCCGTCCCTAAAAATCCATCGGGGTTGGTTATCATCCATCTTCAACTGAATCCGGTTTTGCTCCATGAGGATAAAAATGCTTTTTGATTAAAATAATGCTGTTCGCACTGTACTCTGTACAAATGCAGACTTTCTAGAGTTTTTACACACCCATACTTAAACTGATGTAACGGTGTAAATAAGCATGCCGTGTGAGATATGGAAATGACATCTATGCTTTAGATTTTAGAGGAGACTCGGCTTAATGTTTAACAAGCATTAACAGCCAGGATAGAAGGCAACATTAACAAGGGAGAGTTAGGAGAGTTCTGTATTAGACAATGAAGGCTTATTTGATGAATAACAATATAGACATTTACAGAGGACACAGGTCTGTGTAGTCAGAGCGCTGGCTTGACGCTTTCCCTCCCACGGTTCTGGTCCAGTCCGAGCCTCCATGGACAGCCCCGTGCACGTTCCGACCTCCCAGTCTCGGGTTACTAAGCCGATGCCATGAAACATTAATCCCTCCAGTTCGCCTGCTGGGGCAGTATCCAAAAGAGCAAGAAACGGGGAGAGAGAAAGAGTGAGAGAGCGAGAGAAAGAGCAAAGGAGCAGAGGTAAGGGAAATTAAAGCGTCACTCTCCTTACATGGAGCCATTAGATCGGCCCCATTCCCAGCAGGGCTGGGATCCTGGGTTCGCTTTCCAATGACAGACCGCATAACACAGACTGTTTCGGAGGGGTACAGACGCCTCTGTGGGCCAGGGTGGTCTTGTTAATTCATTTTCCTTCGGGGAGTCTTCCCCTCCTCAGATTTCCGATCATTAATAATCCACAACATTGGCTCAGCTTCCCCGCTCAGCTTTCAGTAGGTGCATGGGAAGGCTGGAGTAAGGGGGTCCCCATCACCCTGTGCTGGCATGAAGCGTAGCTCCAACCCGCAACGTCAAGGGATAAGCATGGGAGTGAAAGAGGCAAGAGGCACCAAGAGGTTCTGCTCACTCGGGTCTATCTTGACACAGCAGGTTTCAATTGACTACAAAACAAACTAGAAAATAACCCATTACATCAAAACCAATCACATATTGACATTTTATTTATTTAGCAGATACTTTTAAAGCACCTTGCAATTGAGAAAGCAAGGTCACCCAGTTCCTGGAGTAAATTGGGGGTTAGGGGCCTTGCTCAGGGTCTCAACCATGAGATCACTCTGCTGATTTTGGAATTTGAACCAGCAACCTTCCTATTATAGGCACAGCAGCCTGACCTGCTGAGTGATACACCAGCTCCACTAATGTGCTAATCTTCATGTCTTTCTAGTTTCAGTATATGTGCTGCCACATCAAGCACGCATTAGCATGGCATTGCGGTTCATTCATATAGATTACAATGAAGAAAAAAATATATATCGTTCACCCTGTTTCAGTAAATAAAACATTTTGAAGGGTCTTCTTCACAGCACCTTTTCACTCATCTTCATACATGGGAAACTTGAATCTGCAATTTCAAAACCCATTTTTAAAAGAGCAGGTTTTATATTTCCCTAAGCAAATTAAGCTCCTCCAGAGAGCTTAAGAAAGCACCTAAAAGCTGATCTCAGCCTGAAAGCCACCTGAAATGGCCCTGCATTACTGAACATTAAAGATAAAGCTTGGTTGGACAGTAGGTACAGAATAGGGAGCCCACATCAAATAGAGAAGCAACAAACATTTGTAAGTCACCTTAAACTGGGGTCAGCCTTTAATTCCAGAAGTGAGCTAAAACATCTTAACAGACATGCATTTTGTCCATAGTCCTAATTGCTTATTCAAAAATGGGTTTCTCCAATATGGACCTTGATCAATAGAGTTACTTGACCACCAATTCTGTCATCCAATTGAAACACTGTGTTTAGAACCATAATACCTTAAACAAATATCATGTATAGAAAACTTTCACTCAATTGAGGCGCAGGAGAGAGGACTCGTTTTGTGTTATGTGATGCTTTCTGTTAAGGTTAAGAAGCCTAAGAGAGCTCAGCAGGGGTATAATGAAAACCAATATACAGATCAGCGATTCCCAGAACAGTTTGGGAACAGTGGCCTATTACCTTTGGGGCCGCAGGAGGCAATTTATAAATATTAGGATGAGAAATGGGACCCAAAAGTACCGGACATAAAAAAATAGCTGTTCTGTAAACATGGAGAGCCACAACAAAGGTAGGTAGAGAATACTGGAGGTTTTATTCAGACCTGTGTAATTACATTTCTAAGAGACTGTGCTCATCTTAGACATGAGTAAGAGCAGCACACACTCACAGCTGCTTTCATCATTAATATGAAAAACATGAATGGTTCAAAAACAATATCTTTTTTTCCGGCAGTACGGCTTCAATGCCATAAACTTTGCCTACATGTATTACAAGTTAGGAAGGTGGCATTTTTTGTACAGTATTTTACAGTAAATTTACAGTCACTCATACAGAAATGTGATAAATCAATCCCTCCTGAGGGTCTCCCAAACCAAACAGCATCCTGAAATGGCTTCATTGCCTTTGCTTCCCCATAAAAGGAACACCTCAAGTTGCAGGGAAGCAGTTAACTTGGCCGCACGCTATCAGTCCAAAGCCTTGAGTGCTTGCCTACGGAATAAAATTAAATTTAAAACCCCTTTCTGTTAAGCCACACCCAGAAAACATAAGCACGAGACATCAGAAGTGCATTCAGGTGTCAAACGAGCCAGCTGGGGATCAAGTGACTGCCATCTCCCCGCTGCTGGGACCTTACGGGGCTACTGTGGAGGTAAAGGGATGCCCCGGGGGTCTGTGACCTGGCCCTCCTGCAGGTTCTTCACCAGCTGTGCCAGCCAGCGCTTGGTGGTGGTGTCGTCCTTCAGCACCTGGGCGAACGTGGTGTCCTTCAGCTGATCCGGAAGACACTGCCGGAGGGCTTCCCGCGCCCTGGAACAGAACGTCACGTAGGTGTGATAAACCAATGAGTGTCTTAACACTGCCAATGCAGAGCTCCTCCTAGAGGGCAAACAATGTTATTACCAAGGCAGAAAAAAAAAAAAAAAAACGGCCAGACGGTCATCTCATACCTCGGATTGTCGGAGAGACGGAGGTAACAGCGTACCACGTGTTTCAGCAGCCGGGCAGATGGCTCTTTAGAGAGCTGCAGGACCATCTTCCCCTGCAAGCAAAGAGCTGTTCAATATAAAATCGGACGACGGGCGATCAGGAGTGCCAACAGAGCTCTTCATTTGTGCAACTTACGAGGATCATGGCCACATGGGAGAACCGCTCATAGGTCTGACAGATATATGCTAGGCCCGTGTCATCCAAGAGGATTTTCTGTAGTATAAACGTAGCAACCTGTCACAAAGGAACAAGCAAAGGATATACAGAGATCAGTGAGTGACACAAAGCAAAGGGAATGTGGGTATGTTCCTATAATTCCCAGAAGGGGGCGCACCGTTTTGGAAAGCTCACTGCCTGACTCCATGATCCGGAGGCAGAGGGGAATGATCTCTGTGGTTAACAGGAAGTTGATCACTTCTTGTTCATCAGTTTTTACCAGTGCTCCTATAGACAGAAGGCCAATAATGGAGGAAATGGGGAATACAGACAGAAGCCTTAGATTAACAGGCAGCAGAAACCAGACTGAGAATTACAAAGCTTGTACTGAAAACAGCTTGACTTCACAGGTGACTGCTATACACTCAAGCAGCAAGGAAGGTGAAAGTCACAGTACCTATTACCCCTAAACTGGTCAGCCGCAGGTACTCGAACGGACGCGTTTTGCTCACAGTGTGCAGGAAGGGGTACAGGAACAGTGGAATGTGCGCTGCCAGAAACGCCGATCTGCAACAAAACCATGGAGGGGAGCACATCAGCAGTATTTACAGGAATGTGGAGAAAAAAGTGCAAGGCGTATGCAGAGGGGATGCTTACCTCGTCTCTGGGTGGGAGGCGACACACTGCAAAAGTGCTAGAGCGTTACACACCCTGTTGGACTGGTGTGCTGTTAGCGTGGGGGGGTTGATAGAAGGATAGATATTGACAATTTCCTTTAAAAAATAAAAGAAAAAGGTATGAGATAGATATAGTAAAACCTCGGACTGCGAGCTTAGTTTGTTCCGGAAACATGCTCGTAATCCAAAGCACTCATATATCAAAGCGAATCTTCCCATTAGAAATTATGGAAACTCCGATGATTCGTTCCACAACCCAAACAAATTCATATAAAAATGATTAATACAAAATATAACGTAAAAAAAAAAGTATTGTGGATGGTGTGAAGGAGACGAGAGAGAGGAGAAGAGGAGGGTTATTTTGTAGGACGACTCACTATAACTAACGGAATCACTGCTATCTGTTGGCTCACTGGAATCTTTCTTTTTGTGTGACTTTAACAAGGAACCTATCCCGCTTTTGCCTCCTTTTCGATTTTGCAGAAATGTGGACATTGCATTGTCATTAAACAGATTCATCGCTCGCACTGCTACGCCCTTATTCGGGTGGTGCTTTTCTACTAAAATGTTGACTATATGAGTGAGGCATGCCGACTGAGACCGAGCATGGGAGACGATTACCCACAATCCCGCAGAGAGAGAGAGAACCATTTGCTCAGTTGTGATCACGTGACGCTCGGCAGACAAAGCGTATACGTAATACTCGTATTGCAAGACATCGCTTGTTTATAAAGTTAAAATTCATTTTAAAATTTTGCTCGACTTGCAAATCAATCGCAAACCAAGTTACTCGCAATCCGAGGTTTGACTGTAGATAGTCAATTTTACTAATTTACAGTCTTTTTAGCCTTCAGACTAAGGCAACTAAAAGACAATTAGAATAAGTATCAGTAGGTAAGTGCATTGACAGGAGGAACGTGTAAAATTTGGCCTACAACGCTTCATATTCAATAATCTGTCATTTAAATATTATTCACAATAGATTTCTTACTCTTTTTGCCAACCTATTTCAATGAGTCAGCCTGCCATGCACATAAAAATGTAGTATAAGTATGCAATATAAGTGTAGTATAAAATGTAGTATAAATGTGGCACAAGTGATAATGAAGACTGAGGACTGACACAATAAGTTGCCACTGTCAGCTCCCACAATGAGTCACTCTTTGTAGCTATACAGTACCAAAAGCTTGAACACACCAAGGCACCTACAAAGGAGTGATAGAGTGTCACATCACATGACCTGGCCAACTGACGTAAACACAGCAGAAATGGCTTTGGAGGAGTTTGACCATAGGAGTGAAGGAAAAACAGCCAATAAGTGCTCAGAATATGTGGGACCTCCTTCAGGACAGCTGGAAAAGCATCTTAGGACACCACTTCATGAAACTAGCATAGAGGACAAAGCAGAATCAGCAAGCCAATGGAGCAACTGGAGTTAAGCTTTTTGAGTCCCAAGCCACTTTGAGTCTCATTTAAGCGGAGCCCCGGAGCAGTTTTTTAGGGTAAAGGGCCTTGCTTGAGGGCCCAACAGTGACATGATCACTGTCAGACACAGGATTTAGGGGACCTTCCATCACAAAACACTAACCTACACAGCCACACACCACCCAAGGGACTCTGAAGAAGTCTGTTAGACGGCTTACAGTCCACCCTGATGACAAACAGCAGACGACTGGTACCTGCAGGAGGGCGGCGATGGTGCCACAGGAGTGCCAAAGCATGGGTGCCAAGTCCGGCACGGACTCGCGCTTCTTACTGAGCTCCAGGAGGGCATTCTCACGGGTCTCCGGGCTAGACAGCTCATTGATCCACTGGTATATTTTCTCCCGGTCCACCTGCGCCAGCGCTGTGGTTACAGCCTAAGCTCAAAAACATGACATATTCGCAAAACATCGCATTAAGGAACAACAGATTGATCAGAAACATTAAAAATGCACAATTACTTAATTCCCTTATTTCCCATTCATAACCATTATCTTCCTGTGTCATATATGAAAGCATATACAGTCGTTATAAAGCAAACTTTAATACTAATTTAATAATACAATAATTTTCAGCTGCGTTGTTTGAATATCTGATCTGATCGCTCACAGACCTAAGTCGAGACTGTGGCCGCCAAGCAGACTGACTTCTGTTTAACTACTTGAGACCTGTTGGAAGGTTTACTAACTTCTATTTTAGACTGCTAGCTAAATATATCAAATGTAAGAACAGGCATTCAGCCACCAAATGCAAGCTATTTTAAAATACTAACGTTACAGGTAAAGCCATTGTAAACGATGTAAATGGCACCATAGGACATTTCGCTTACGAAGCATCGAACTTTCGCGTCGGGACAAAAACTCGCGTGATACACGAAGAAAAAAAAAGTACGTCGGGCCTTATTGCAAACGATAACGGCATATAAAACATCAAATCTATTTTAGCACAAGTTGACTTATATTGATGATGCATCACAATTTTGCGAATCGCAACCAAGTCGCCAGTACTACTATCCCTAAACAAACTAGCTAAGAGTTTATTCAGCATAATAATTACTAAATGAGAAACATCAGACAAGTGACTACTCAGATAGACTCAGCGAATCACCAAATCAAACTGGGATCAAACCAAAAACTCCCAAAATAACAAACAGGCGCCTAAAACATTTTAATGTCACCAATGCTAGCGGCGCGAGGGCCTCATATCCCAATGAGGGGAGAAACGCTCATACAAAACGACACATCCTTACCGCCCCTGTAGCCAGCATTCTCCGAAGCGCCTGGATATGATCTCCCAGAGGCTGTCGAGTACCTTTTTTAAACTAATACGAACTAAAAGCTCAACTTTAAAACGCTCCCTGTCTCACCAACAGAGAGGAGCCACGCGCAGACGCAGGAGCGCTGACCTATGAACCATGACCCCGCCTGCGCACCGTTTTTATAAAATGTGAAATGCATCCGTTTCGCTTATTTCAATTTTACCCTAAGGCTACAGTATGTTTAAGTGCCGATATTTGGGTAATATGTTGAGCTTGCATAATATTTTGGCGTTTTTTGATTCGTACTATGATTTGTTGCATCGTCAGACCTGTGCAGAACCCGTGTAATGTCGAATACTGCTTAATGCTATATTGATAGCCTGTAAGTTGTGTTCTCTTAAAATGATTCAGTCAATTGATTGAATGATTTATGCACATTACAGGTTAATTTAATATGATGTTTTCAATTCAGCATGCTCTGCTAACTGTGATTTCTAAACATCTCTGATCTTTTTTTACAATCCATATACGTACTGAATTAATTAAAAGTTCTACAGTGTGACGAGATCGGCCTGGTGTTTATAACTATGGAAAAATCTCAGAAGCATTTCATTGCCGAATGTCTTGTCTATTAATTACTGAGCACGACATTTAAATGCGTTTATTTAAACAATAAAGAACTTCGTAGCATCCCAGTTGTTACAACAGAAACGCGCGGAGGGCTGCGCAGGATTGGATTATAAGGGGGGGAGGGGCGAGCTTCTCGCGAGAGGACAGGCCGCGCGGCTCTCGTGCGCTGTTTCCGCTGTAAATTTTCACATTCCCGCCATCGCCGTGCGCCGCACTGTCAACAACGCATGCCGGCTACGCGGACACCCATTCCTGCGCGTATCACGGAAGAGCTGGGTTCCCCTTCTAAAGTTCACGAAGTACCCCGTTTACTTTCCCAAGTAAGCCGCTTTTCTCGCTCTCCGGTTCCCGGTCGACCCGTCTTCGGAGGACGGTCGCGTGCAGCTGTTTCTCTGGCCTTGGAGATGCCAGCACGTTAGCTTGTGATGCTATCTGGCTAACCAGCTCGTCGGCTTGTTGGTCAACTAGAAGGGAAATACATTTGGGGCGTGCATTCACGGGTTTTACTTATTATTTTGAACTGCTGGGGTTAGCGTTAGTGCCAGGGGGCGGCTTGCGGGCTGTCACCGCGCTGGCTAACGGTCCAGTGGCATCCTCGCTTCGCCCCTTCCAGAAAAAGTCCGTCACTCTCCTGCCTTCTGGTAAAAACCCTCTAAACTCAGGTTCTCTCACCGAGCCGGGAGTCGGATTGCTGTTTCTATTGGTTTTCTGACGCTTCGTTCCTTTTTTCCGTCGCGGAGAGAGTGAAGGAGCGGGGCAGTCCGGCCGTGGGTGTGTGCTGCACGCTGATTTGTGCTCAACTAACTAACTGGCCTGCAAGTCCGCTGGTTTGTCTTCTAAGCTCACGTTTATTTCTCACATTACATAGTTACTGCCTTAGTAAAACAAAATAACGGGAGAAATGTGAGTATTAGTTAACAGCAACCTATCTTAACTTCTTAGTCATGCCCACATGTGCGTCTAACTCTCTAACCTTAAATCGGTTTGGACAGCAGGATCAAACGATGTCTCCTGCTAATCAATTATATGAAAATGTTGCCAGTTAATAGGGATGCTATTTTTGACCCTTTATGGCATGTGTCCCCTGGAGGATCGGGCTTCGCACCGTTTATATGGTTTGACATGGCTTTCTGATTTATTCCTAAACCTCGTAGAAGGTTGCTTATTTGTAAAAGTAACATTTCTGATTCTTGCGTTGGGGTATGTGAGAAAAATCAATTTAAATGCCTGCTCTTATTAATATTATAAAAGCACGTTTCTGAGAAATATAATGTCAGTTTCCTTTTGTGTGTGTGTAGACACTTCCATATTTGTTTTCATTGAAATATAATTGCTCAATATACTTGAGCAATTTTATTCTCTAAATCTCTGTAGTATTCTTCATTCTGTAACTGCAGTGCTCAGTTGCTTGTTCTTATTTTTTTTTCTTGGGAACTTGGTCCAAAGAGAATCTATTTCATACTTGCATCGTTTAATGGATTCAGTTCTGTCACCAAACCCAGGACTGGAAACATTTCATTGTGACAACCACCCATGGCCAGCACAGTGCCCAAGCTCCCCTCTAGTGGTGCCGTTCGCATCCGTATTAACAGCTTGGAGCAGGGAACCACGAAGTGGAAAGAGGGCAGCTTCGAGATTCACGAGAAGGAAAGCAAAGTCAACCTTTGTTTGAAGTTCAGCAGTGGAGGTGCCCCCAAAATCTTCCAGGTAAAGTGCTGCAATCTTCCTTAATATGGAGTATCTTTTGACACATCTAGTTGGAAAAACACTCTGGTTTCTGGTTTGCAACTTGACTTGAAGCATAAAACAAGTAAACCAAAACAAAGATTAATTTTCATTTAATCTGTTTGGGATTGTGACAGGTAACAGAAAACTTTTTCCTTTTCATGTTGTAGCTAAACCAAAATGTGAAGAGTGTGGTGTTGGGACCCATGCAGAGTCAGATCCGAATCGTTGTTACCCTGAAGGACTCCAGTGCTGTTTCCTTCGACAAAGTCCCTGTTGCGTTGGCTCACAAATTAAAGGAATACCTGGAGAAACTAAAGCAGGGTAAATCTACAGGTATGCTCAGTTCAGTAACGTAAATCTACCGGTATGCTCAGGTCAATGGAGTAAATCTACAGGTTTTTTTGAATGTCTTAAATATTGTTAATTTAGATTTTGTTGTGTTGCTGATTTGGACTTTAATTTGGGACACTTTTCCTTTCAGTCCTAAAGACAACCCAGGCAAGTGTGAGTTTCGGTAGTGTTCTGGGAAACCGGTCAATTAAGAATGACTCCAGCCAACACTTACCATCCATGGATAGACAGGTATAAAGTGCCTCTAACTGAAACCATATGAATCTCAAGGGAGTGAAACTATTTATTCTGAGAACTGTGTGTGGATGTTTGTGTGTGGTCCAGGTATACATTACATTGTGGGAACCAAATGTCCCCACAATGTGATAAATCTGTTATTTTGACGTCGTGGGAACCATTTTGTCGGTCCCCACAAGGGAAAACTAAATTTTATAAAAATCTATGACTGCAGTCAAAAACTAAAAATGCCAGAAGTCCTTGTATTTTGTTTTGGTTACTTATGGTTAAGGTTAGGGCTGGGTAGGGGTTAAGACTGTCATTGTTGGAATTAGGGTTTTGCCTGTAGAAATGATCCCCACAAAGATATGATTACAGGTGTGTGTGTGTGTGTGTGTGTGTGTGTGTGTGTTTTCCTTCTAAACACATTTTAAATTTTGCAAGTTATAATATATACTACAATATAAACTTATATAAGTTATTAGTCCAAGACAAGTGCATATATCGTGCATTTTAATAATGCTCTCAGACCACACCAAGACGAGCGAGCCTGGAGAATCGGGAGGAGGGTACCCCTCGCAAGCCCCTGGGCAGCCCCAGCCGCGCAACAGCTGCGCCCATCCGGAGTGGGCTTTCAGAGAACAGGTAGGCATGCTTCACCCCCGGGATCACCGGGTGCGTGTGGGGGCTTTTCCAGAAAGCCATAAGGGTGGCTTTTAAATGTCCGTCATGCTCCACAGGAGCGAGAAGAGGAAAAGGTTAATGACACCTGAGAGCGACATGAACGAGGACTATCCCAAGGAGAATGACTCCTCTAGGTGGGTAGCATCCAGCCTTAAATTTTATCGATGTGACGTCATAGTATCTATGACACATTTCCTGTTCGCCACATACTGCCATGTTTGAAACTTGAGTTCGCGATTAAATGAGATTACAGCATTGTAGCAATTATATGACCAAAACTTTATCATGTATATAAGCCGATGAGATTTCCCTGAAAGTGCAATTAGCGATTGTTGTATGTCTGTGCAGATTGGTGTTGGTGTAGTAATGTGTAACAAGCTGTACTTGTTTGTTTGTCAGCAATAACAAGGCCACCTCAGATCCCTCCCGAAAGTTCCTCCTCAGCTGCAAAGAGAAACTGAAGCAGTCTGAAGAGAACAGGAGCTCAGGTTGGTGTCTGTTGCCTGNGTGGCCCACGATAATGATAATATCACGATTCGCAATATCTACGATATTCAATATATTGGAAGAAATTTCATCAACGATATATCACGATATATGTGACTGAAAAAGAAAAATAAGGAATAAGGAAATAATAAGGAAATCTTATGCATTTATTACTGCCAACATTTCCAACATTGTGCAAAGAAATATGCATTTGCATAATTCACTGCCTCCTGGTCTTAAATGTAAACACTGTACAGCTAGACAGATAAAAGTGCATTGTAAAGTGCTTTATGATAACCTGGACAGTGGACAAATTATTGCCCTCATTATCACCTGAGAGTAGTTCACCGTGATAGCGAACGAGGTGCACTTGCAGATTCGTAGTGTTGCTGTTTTATATTTTATCTTTGCAAAGCAGTTCTTGCAGAATTCATAGTCTTTATCCAGTGCCTTTCCGTCGACTGTCTCGTAAAACCCGAAGTGTCTCCACACTTTAGAGTGGAAACTAGCGGGTGGGTCTTTGATTTGTTTTTTTATTATTTTCCGCCATTCTCTGCGCTTCTTCTCTGTTGTTGTTAGTTAACTTGTGTTCTTCACCGGCCGCTGTTTGCGCCACTTTACCCCTATTTACTCGAACAGCGCCCCCCCCAAACAGAATGGTAGATATTGGGTAGTGACAGTGACACTGACAATGGGTAAATTAATCATTTTGTGTTGTAATAAAATATCGATATTGGCCGTTAGTGTATCGATTATTTATTGCGACAGAGAGCACAACAATATATTGCAATATCGATTTTTTTTCACACCCCTAAAAGAGATGGTCTTGTAAATTATGTGACCTATACCCGACCTATACCCACCCTGACATGGCCCTGCTTACTAACAGGGCCGAAAGTATAACAAAACGGAGCTGGTTGCGTCACTTCCATCTGATTGGTCGAAATACATGAAGATATTGGTGTTCTGCATCAATATGCATGGATTATGTGAAGGGGAAAAAAGGGCTTATTCTAATTTCATTATTAGTAGTATCGCACATCCCAATGTATTGATGCATTTCCGGTTTACTTGTATATTTCCAACCTGCTTAGACAGTATTATAGAACGGCTGAATGGAATGAGTTGGTGACGTATATTTACGCTAAGTCTGCTAACATTTGATGCGAACATAAAACAAAGATTCTCACAGACATGCTGGCAGAAATGAGCACATTAGTGTCTTTTCATGGTACAGCCTGGTTTCTGTATTCTATCAGAAAGGTGCCGTAAGAGATACAGTTGTGTTCTTTGTTATATATGGGCTTGAGGATGGTGTTTTTGAGAGGAACCCAAAGGTAAAATCTATTGCCTACTGGCAAGCCTCTTGATTTGCTTACGTTCCTGTTAAATAACATTTTCATTACTTGCATGCATGTTTTAAAATTTTAGTAGATCTATCCAAAGCCACATACATACAGTCAGTGTCTCTGGAGCAATTAGGGTTAAGGACCTTGCTCAAGGGCCCAATAGGGGCCAACAGCGATCGCTAACCAGTTGAGCTGAGCAGTTGTAACATTAATAAGATTTGAGGGGTGAGTCTTTGTATAGGGGTACACATTCATGCGTTCATATTAAAGTGTGTGTGTGTGTGTGCATGGCTGAGCAGATATTTTGGAGTCTCTGGATCTGACGAAAGACCTGGATGAGAACAAGGAGAACCAGACTCCGGACGGGCTACAGGGCGAGCTCGACTGGGCACAGCAGTACAACCTCGACCAGGAGCGGGAAGAACAGGAGCTGCAGCAAGCGCTGGCCCAGAGTCTGCAGGAGCACGTAAGACAGCCCCCCCTCTGTGCTGCCTCCCCTGCCCCTCGTCCACCTGGAGGCAGAGTCCTCATGTCCCATGTCCTCTGCAGGAGGCTCGTGAAATGAAGGAGGATGACGATCTGAAGAGAGCCACCGAGCTCAGCCTGCAAGGTAGAGTTTGGGCGGTGGCTGGGCAGGTGCTGTGGTGACTTGGGATTTCAGTGGGTCACACATTGCAGCACAACTGATTAAAGTTCTGTCTCTGGTACAGACAGTAAGGCCCTAAAAATGCTACAACGTCCTTGTAATACAAATTTAAAATGAGCCTCTATATAATATAACATTACCGCCTAACCATAAACCAAGTGAACATTAACTTTATCAACACTGAACTCTCAAATAAGCAAATTAAAAGTATAACTCTGTTCACATATCTTTGTCAGTCCCAAACTGCGTTTATGCTGCACAATTTTATCTATTTATTTTTTCCCCCCCATTCCCACGCAATCACTAGACACTCTGGGCTTCATAATAATTCCAGCCTAAGGGTGGCAAGTCATTATACAGGAATCGTAGCTTCTCTGTACTTTCTCCCATGAGGGCTCAAATGTTTAAAGTCATTACCAATAATAATCCTGGAACCTTAATATCGCCCATTTTGTTGCCCGCCAGTAAAAGCCCTATTGCTAAGAAGGAATAACATGAAAGCAGACATTGTCAAACGAAAGCGGCAGATGTATGAAGCAAAAGTTATTTGGTTCTTATATAAACTTTTAGAACTGCAGTTTATTCAATTGGATGGCTAGAGCATCTTAAATTTTATGGATTTAACTTTTTTGTTTTGCAGGTATGTTAAAGTTTGCAGGCTGATTGTTGTTCTCTTGTAATATCTGTTTAAGTTCACTATCTGTAATAAAGTCCTGATAGTACCCAGTTATTAACGAGGTGGGACTTCCTGTCTGCTTGTGTTCTGCTGGCCGCCTTAGAATTCAACAACTCTTTACCTGAGCTCTTGTGCTCCGACGAGGACTCTGGGAACGAGGATGTCTTTGATATGGAGTATAGTGAAGCTGAAGCAGAAGACTTGAAGAGAAATGCAGAGGTTAGGATGTTAGCCTGGACTTTGCCCTGATGTTGTTTTTTGTTTGTTTGTTAGTCTGTTGTCTGCTGACTTTCATGCCCTTCATACCTGAAAGCGCTTAAATCGTTTTTGCCTCCTTTCCCAGAATGGAGAGCTGGCCAACTCATTCAGACTCATCAGTGTGGTCAGTCACATTGGCAGCAGCTCATCATCTGGTTAGACCTTTCAAAAAACTTTTGTCATCTTTTAAATGTAAATCCCACCTGCATCTGGAGTACCATGATCCATTGGGTCACAGCGTTCTGCTTTCCCACTCAGGGCATTACATCAGCGACGTCTACGACATAAAGAAGCAGACATGGCTGACGTACAATGACCTTGATGTGTCGCGCACGCAGGAGTCCATGGTACAGAGAGACAGGGACAGGAGCGGCTACATCTTTTTCTACATGCACAAGTGCGTTGTTTTCAGACCCCCCCTCAGTATGCTAGCAGGGCTGAATGAACACGTGGTGATAAATGGCCGTGCACACTTGCCCTGAGTCTTCATCGTGCCTTGTCTTGCAGGGACGTGTTTGAGGAGCTGTCAGAGTTGGAGAAGAGCGGGGCAGTTGTCGAGGCTGGGAGGACCGTCCTGCAGCCCCTCTGAGGGAGCGGCTGCTGGACTCGACATGCACCCTTCCACACCCAGGCGGGGGGATAGGCCCCTGCCATGAACGGATGTGTAGAGTTCGGGGTAACGGTGAAACGTCCTTCTAATACTACTGATCACCAACCCCTTTGCCTCCCTCCAAGCACTTTCTGCCTCCTAAATAAAATGTTATGCCTGCTTGCATTACTGTAGCAGGTCGTTCTGTGGGACTCTCAATCTTTTTTTTTTTCCTTTTCCTTCAGACCCCTAAGCACTCTGCCACATAACAAAATGTGGATTTTTATTTTTAATAGAAATGTAACATTTGCTTGAATTTAATGAGCCAAACCTTTCCCCTCTGAAATATATTAAATTTAGTTCCTCTAAAATGCAATGCAATAAAACGGACTGCCTTGACCTGCAGTGGACAATCTGTCCATTAGCACTTCCCTGTCAATTTCACTATTCTTGTGAAAGCTTTTCCCCCCTGTATACATTAAAGAGCGGGGGCATTTTGAAGTTCTGTTGTTATGATTATATGCAGCCCGAAGAGGTGCAATATTTATGGAGTAATTTGCCACTTGGCTTTTATTTGTTTTACGTTTGTCAATTCGAGTTGGGTATGGGCAGGATTCAGTAATTCCTAAGGTCTTTGTGTGGCATTCTTTTTTTGTTTTTGTTTCTTACTGTTTTATTCATGTCTCTAAACCTTTTTGAAGATGACTGATGAGGTAGCTTTTCTGCATACCCCTAGGGGTCGATTATTTCCTCATTCCCCCCCCCCCCCCCCCCCCACAATGGAAAAGTAGAGGAGTCTAACTGCAGGCAGTTCACATAAAACATCACCTGGAAATGACATCTATAGGAGGTGTTGTATGGCTTTGTGGGTCGGTGTCCAGAAAGTCACATCCCACGGCTGGCAGAGTGATCATATCATTGTTCGTCTCAACCCTGAAAACAGGGTTGGCAAATAAATGCCTCACTCTGCCCCAAGCTTCGCTCTCACCTGTGTGTCTGAAAAACACAGGATATGGAAAACTAAAGAATTCCAATATACTTGTAAACATGCTGGTGCAAATGGCAATAGAAGCACCATTGTTGTTATATAGTATATTCAAAATCTGCCTTTGAACTTTCTTTCGCCAGGTCCAGCACCGCTTCAGCCTTCGTCCTTTTACAGCAGCCGCTCGGTGACAAAAGAATATTCACAGAGCCACTCTTACCTGGACAGGTAATTTAGCATGTGCTTGCCTCAGGGACCTGTAACCGTGATAGTCAGTCCTGAGAAAGGTGTGTTCAGCTACAGGGGACACAGGGCTCTTGTATTTTGCCCCTGCTGTAGCCTCAGCCTCTAACTGCGATGTTTTTATTTTTTAAAAGGTCAGCCAGTGCTAGCCAGTCTCCCTCCTCTAAGAGAAGCCTGCTGTTCCCCAGTCACTCAACCCCCTTTAAGAAAGTACGCCCCACTGTGGACTACACTGGATGGAACAAGCCAAAACCCCCTTTCCTGACTCCAACACAGGCCCCACTACAGGGGTGAGAAAGGAGATCTTTTCCCAGCTTTGTTAGTCTGTTATTAGCCCATTTGAGCACTGACAGATGATTTTTGGAACAGATTCTCCAACCTGGGCAACACCTGCTACATGAATGCTATTCTCCAGTCCCTCTTCAGCCTGCCGTCCTTTTCTAATGACCTGCTCAAGCAGGGCATCCCCTGGAAGAAGGTCCCAGCAAATGCATTACTCAGGTATTGTGACCTCTGGCTAACCTCTGACCATGGGACTTTTTTCTTTCTTTTTGGAGATGTGTAGCTGCATGTCGGTTTTCTGGTGTCCCTCTTTTGAAGGCGATTTGCACACCTTCTGGCCAAGAAGGACATCTGCAGCCCAGAGCTAAAGAAAGACCTATTGAGGAGGGTCAAGAGCTCCATCTCCTCCACGGCAGAGCGCTTCTCTGGGTACACACAGAACGTAAGCCATCTTTGGAGTTTTGCTGGGTCTTCCTCTGGGCATGGACAGGATTTGATGTTCAGCCGGCATATTTTAGAGGTGTTTTTACTGGAGGTTGACTGAGCTTTACTTTAGGACGCCCACGAGTTCCTGAGCCAGTGTTTGGATCAGCTGAAGGAGGATGTGGAAAAAATGAACAAGAGCTGGAAGAATGAGCCCCACTCATGGGAGGACCCCCAGGCAGTGAGGCCTGGCGAAGAGGTGGATGCCTCTCGTGTTTACACCTGTCCCGTGGGTGCCAATATGGAGTTTGAAGTGCAGCACACTATTACCTGTAAAGGGTAAGGCTTGGGGAAACTTCCTGTCATGTTTTGCCAGTTCCCTGGCAGTTAGGAATAGTAACCGCTGTTAATGCCAGTTTGATTAATTGTAGCACCTGATTTCAGGTGTGGGGAGGTCGTCACCAAGAGGGAGCAGTTCAACGACCTCTCCATAGACCTGCCCCGGAGGAAGAAGACCATGCCGCTGCGGTCCATGCAGGACTCCCTGGATCTCTTCTTCAGGGTGCGCTCCTGTGGTTCCGGGTCCTCGGTCAGAGGCTCGCGGTACACTCTCACACAGGTGATGAGCCGCTTACATGTTTGTTTGGTTTTTTTCCTTCTTCTTCTACAGATGGAGGAAATCGAGTACTCGTGCGAGAAGTGCTCTGGAAAAGCCGCCACTGTCACGCACAAGTTCAGCAAACTGCCCAGGTTTGTGGCTGCGGTGGCCGTCGATTTGCCGCTGAGCGCAGCACTTCTGCGTTGTCAGCCCACCCGCGGTGCGACCTGAGCTGCGCCTCTCTCTTGCCCAGGGTGCTGATCCTTCACCTGAAGCGGTACAGTTACAACGCTCAGCTGTCCCTCAACAGTAAGCTTGGCCAGCAGGTCCTGATACCACGATACCTCACCCTGCTGTCCCACTGCACAGATGCCACACGGCCTCCCCTTGGCCTGGGCTGGAGTGCGCACACAGCCATGTACGTCCTACGGCGCCCCTTATCAACCGTCCATCTCCTTTCGCGACCTGCCTCCATGCTGACTTTGAATGGACATGCCCTCTGTGTTTTCTCAGGTCTCGAACACTCAAGTCCTCTCAGTCTGTGAACTCCCCTTCCGTGTCACTGCGGTGAGCCGGCCATTTGTTTGGATTTGCCCGATTTTCTCTGGGCCGCGACACGTTTCACACTCCTAGTTTGGTGCTGATTTAACTGTAGAGAATCTGTCACCTGCAGAAAAGGCCCAGTGAAGTCCAGCACTTGCAGCAGCTTCCTCTTAGACTCCGACAGCGAGGAGGAACTGACCCGAAAGACCGTGTGCCGGCGACGTAGGCTGAGTGATTCTCTGGCTGACGAGGAGCGGACTGAGAAGGTGAGGGGGCTGTTGTGGCACGGGTCAGCCCAGCGGTGCGCCGCTGTCTGCGATTAGCTTCGCTCGGCGGCCTGGTTTGGCTCATCACAGCGCTGCTGGGTCATTTTAAGCATGTGCCGGGCCCACGAGGTCCTCACGCACTGCCTCCCCCCTGCTCCGGCAGGTTTCACGGGCCACGCAGCCGGAGTCTCTGGACTACAACGCCATCAACGACGACGACATGCTAGCGGCGGTGCTGGAGATGAGCCGGCAGGACGCTGCGCTTTCCGGGCCTCCGGACGACGAGCCCACCAGCAGCCCAGACACGGGCTTCGGGGACACTGACGGCCAGGACCTAAGCCATCGCCCGGATCCCCTCGATGCAGACAAGCCATCCACAGGTACCAGGGTGGCATCCCGGGGGTGGATTGATTGCTTTATATGTACACTTCTGGAACAGCATGCCCCCCCCTTACTAATGCTGATTTTCCACTGCCACCAAGAAGTTATAACCAGGCCAAACCGCAAAGAGATTAGGGGTGGGACGATACAGGTAACTCACGATTAAATTCTGTGGCGATATGTGGCCCACGATAATGATAATATCACGATTCGCAATATCTACGATATTCAATATATTGGAAGAAATTTCATCAACGATATATCACGATATATGTGNTACCCCTAGGGGTCGATTATTTCCTCATTCCCCCCACTGGATGCCCTGGTGCCTTTCACTCTTAGCCCCTACGTAAGGTATGAGTAGTTTACTTTTTCCCTGATTCTCTCAGCATTACTTCAAAGGTTGCACAGCCGAATCGGTTAGAATGTATCCTTCAAACCTCAAAAAGCAACTTTACCTGTAAAGACAGAAAAATCTACAGATTTATTTATTGTAGAGTAGTCCCTGTTTGCCTTTTCTGTTTGCCGCCCTGCTTGCACTGAGCATCAGGAGCTGTACCACCAGCCCAGCCGTGTAGCCCACACAGCTGCAGACGCTGCGCGGCTGTGTACAGACCTAGGCCCCCATCGCTTGCCAAGCATCCAGTAATTGACTCTTAAAGCGAATTTTAAAATAAAATAACTTTGGAAAACTTTAATGGCTTCTGTACATCCTTCTGTGTTATCAGACACCAGTGATCGTGTCTCATGGTGTACATTATACTTGGTTCCCTGTAATCCAATTTTTAAGTGAATGGTGTGAAATGTGGATATTATTTCTGTTTTAACTAAATTATTACTATTTATACTACAGTTTGATACCGTGATTTATTCATGGGCAAAATGTAGCAGTTGATGTTTAGGTGGTTTACATAATTACCTTAAAGTGAAAGAATGTAATTTAGGCTTAGCTGTGATTTTCACTAGTATAGGATGTATTGATTTTAAATATAATGTACATGCACGCACACATTCACTGGCCACTCATTGAAGCAAATATCTAATCAGCCAATCATATGTCAGGAGCACAATGTATAAAATCCTTTAGCTATGGGATTGGAGATTGAGTTCATATTCACATCAAACATCAGAATAGTGAAGAAAAGTTAAAGTAACTTTGAGCATGACATGATTTGGAGGTGCCAGACAGGCTAATATGAGTATTTCAGAAACCGTTGACTAAAATTTCAGCTAAGAACAGCTCACCAAAATTGGACAATGGAAGGCTGGAAAAAACATTGCCTGGTCAGATGATTCTCAGTTTCTGCTGCGACATTCAGATGGCAGTAGGGTTGCCAACTATGGTCAGCTGGCCAGATAACTGTACACGCATTTACAGGTAACAGTTTTATTACCTTGTCAATTGTAGGGTTTGCAAACTACCCCACCGCTTTTGATGCAGCTAATTTTAGGTCTATAGTGGAATAATAAAGATTTACCGTAAGATTTCTTTCGTCAGCGTGACTGAAAGCTTCTGAAAGCGTGAGTGTCACACCAGATGCATGAGAGTTGGCAACCCTGTGGCAGAGTCAGAATTTCGCGTAAACAACATGAAAGTATGGATCCGTCCTGCCTTGTATCAACAATTCAGACCGCTGATGTAATGGTGTGGGGGATTTTTTCTTTGCACACTTTGAGCCCCTTAATACCGACTAAGCATCGTTTAAGTACAACAACTTTAAAATGGCCACTTCCTCCTATTTGTTTTAGTTATTAGAAAAAATCCAAGACATAACACCGAAACCGTATCTAATTAATATTCGTGATCAATCGGTGAATCAGTCGTTTCCAAAGCGGCCCGCCTCCTTACCTGCCCTGCGAATCTGTCATTGGACGGTCTCTCCTCGGCTCATGTCTCTCCACGCCACATGCCGCTCGGAAGGGAACCCTTGGAATTATGGGATTTGTCGTCATCTTTAACACGAAGAAGCGTTGTGTATTGCGTCGTCTTTCAGGATTTGCTACTACATTTCCCTGTCAGCAATGGAAATAGGCCGATCGCTGAGATATGGAGAGCTGAAATTTAAATGAATGAAATATTGCACAGTTGTTTTTGAGGGATTTCATGATGACAGAAGGAACGTGAGTATTTTAAATAATGTATTTTCACATCGAGTTTTGATGTAAAATAAAAAAACAACCTTACAATTGTAAACAGTGTGAAACTGCAAGAGGTGCCAACAGAAAAGTTCATATTCTGGGAAATGTATAATTGCCACAGATTTCTTAAAAAGTAATATAGTTATCTTGCACGACACCGTTACTGTCACCCTGTCTGGTGCTCTTTGCTGATCGGGGGTGCGTTTCCCAAAAACGTAGTTGTTAATTACGGTAGCTGCTTATATAGTTGGAGCCATGCAACTAAATGTTTCTAACTATGTTAACTAAGTTGCTAACAGCAGCTTTTGGGAGGCATGCTCCGGGGCAGGCTCTTAAAAACAATTCAGAAGTAATCGAAGACTTGGCATTGTCGTAAATTAAGTCAGAACTATAATGAAATACGAATCATTTCGCCAGTCCTATGGGATGTGATATCTGTACCTGTCATCTTGTGTGGATACAACGTCTCTGACAACTGCCCGTTGATGATTTTTTATTAAAAATTAAGAGGTTTCGTTTTACTGAAATCACGCTCAGGCGTATGCAACGGCTATAATAAATCTGTGTTCATTGAGTGTAAACCACAGGTAAATCCTCCGTATTGCGCTCAGGTACCTGCGGAGACGGGGTGGGCCGTATAAAACGGCTCCGGCCACAGACCTGAGCCGCTGGAGGCTGTCAAATGTGGAGGGCAGGCAGGTCTGGCGTTACCTGGAGGATCAGGACCATACCGATAGGGCGCAGACTATGCTGGAAGCTCACTCTTTGGGCTTGGATACGGTGAGACTGCGACCACAATGCTAACAGAGGTGATTTCCTTTAGACTGTTGTAGTTTAAACCTGTTCACTTCTGTCTCTTGCCACAGAGCAAGTTTGTCCCAGATTCCCCTGCTGCAAAAAATGCCAAGGAGGCGGCACTGAAGGGCATGGAATTCTACCGCCTCCTACAGGCTGAGGATGGGCACTGGGCTGGGGACTATGGGGGACCCCTTTTTCTGCTACCAGGTGCTGAACACCTGATAGTCTGTACACCCCCACTCAAAACACCCATGTCATGGTTTCCATATAAAATAAAGAAACCTCTATGTGATCCCTTTCATTTCCCTCTGTTGACAGGCCTGCTGATCACATGCTATGTAGCGAAGATCAGTCTCCCAGAGGCATGGAAGAAGGAAATGGTGCGGTACCTCCGCTCTGTGCAGCTGGTGGACGGGGGATGGGGTCTGTAAGTGCAGCGCCAGCCTCTCACACGTGTGCGTGTCAGCATGATGAGGAATAGTTCAAACTATAACATGGAAAATTGTAGCGAATGAGAATGAGTCCTGTAGCTGAATATGGGACTGCATGATAAGGAAGCTGGTAGAGGGAAAGAAAGTGAAAAGATAACATCTAAGAGAGCTGGGATTAGAACCAGGACAATACTGGGGCTTCTATAGCTCTAGTTACAATATTATTTAATATGAAAGGGCATGTAGGGTGGTGTGGCTCAGCACATTAGACCCCTGTGCCTGTCATCAGAAGGTCATCAGTTCAAATCTCATGTTTGGCAGAATAGTTACATTGGGCCCTTGAGCAAGGCCCTTAACTCTTCTAACCCCCCCCCCCAAAAAAAAAGAATGGGAAAATGGCCTGACTCTGTGCTCAGACCCCAAGATTCACTCTCTCCTGTATATGCAAAAACTAAAGAGTTCCTGTGTACTTGTACCTATGCAAATTGAAGTGATTGTCCTTGGCTGTTCATTTTTCTTTGGTCTCGTATGTTTCCAGCCACGTGGAAGACAAGTCGACGGTGTTTGGCACAGCTCTGAGCTACACCACCCTCAGGATCCTGGGCCTGGGGCCAGACGACCCGGACATGGTGCGGGCCAGGAACAACCTTCACAGCAATGGTCAGCAGTTGGGTTTCTGGGATTCTCAGACTGAGGACCAGCTGGGCTCCTTTCTCTACCGAACTCTTTCCAATGTGCTTTTCAGGAGGGGCTGCTGGAATTCCATCCTGGGGTAAATTCTGGTTGGCCGTGATGAACGTGTACAGCTGGGAGGGAATGAACACTCTCCTGCCAGAGATGTGGTATGTGGAACAGGCTACAGACCGGCTACTAAAAGCACGGATAATTTTTGGGGCCTTTAAATATTTCATATTTATATTCAGATTTGAGAAAGTAACATTTTTATAATGTAATAGGTTACAGATTACTAGTTACCCTGTTAAAAATGTAATAAGTAATGTAACTGTTTCGATTACTTTGTCAAAGTAGTGTAACTTATTAAATGTGATTACTTTTCTTACAAATGATTTAAACTGGGCAATAAAGCTGGAAACAAATGCTTTGCTGACCCACAGTGTCTGAAAATATGCCAAAAGTTGGCATTTCTGCATGGTGAAAAGACACAAATCAACAAAATGAATGTTATGTTCTACATATAAGAACCGAAGTACAGAGAGTACACTCTTTTTTTAAATCTCAGGATCACATGAAAATTCTTGTGATCTCGACCTAAAAGTTGTCTCTTGATCTCGTAATTTCATTACGTAACGCTGTTACATGTAACTAGTTCCTTCCCAACACTGCTTGTATTTAATTGGCTGACGCTGATGGCCACGCTTTTGGGACACTGTGTGGAGAGGCTCGTTTCCTCTTCCTCCTCAGGCTCTTCCCTACCTGGATGCCAGCACACCCGTCCACTCTGTGGTGTCACTGTCGTCAGGTTTACCTGCCCATGAGCTACTGCTATGCAGTGAGACTCACTGCTCCAGAGGACCCTCTGGTGCTCAGCCTCAGACAGGTGCAGTGCCCTTTCTCTCCACTAGGGGATGAATCTTTTTGTTTTTCCTTGTCGTTTATAATCTGATTGGTTCTGTTATAGGAGCTGTACGTCCAGGATTATTCGACAATCAACTGGCCGGCTCAGCGGAACAATGTGGCCGCATGTGACTTGTATACCCACCACAGCACATTGCTGACCGTTGCTTACAGTGAGTGTTGTCCGTACGAGCAGCTGTGCTACTCCCACATCGTACTAAAAGCCTACATCTGTTTGCTCCCCCTAGTGGTCATGAATGTGTACGAAGCCCATCACAGCACAGCCTTACGAGCCAAGGCGGTGAAGGAGCTCTATGACCATGTCAAGGCCGACGACCGCTTCACAAAGTGCATCAGCATCGGTCCGGTGAGAAGCAGCCGTATTAACTCTCACACAACATTACACCCGTGTGACCAGGTTGCCCAGATGTTACGCAGACATTGTTAGAATGTTGTTAGACCCCGGCACGCGAATCACCAGGGCCCTGCTGTGCTCCTAGATCTCCAAGACCATCAACATGTTGGTGCGCTGGCACGTGGATGGGCCCAGCTCAGCCGCTTTCCAGGAGCATGTGTCCCGTATCCCGGATTACCTCTGGTTGGTGCTTCGTTGCATCACAATGCCCTCTAGTGGTCTCTCTGCAGCATAACACAGAGCATTAGTTTTTCTGGGTTCTTCATCTATGCTATACATTTATTTACAGGCATGTGTTGCCTTTGTGCTTTAGTGCTACAGTAAACTCTATGTATGTCGGATATTTTTTACCTAAGTCCGGATTTATGTGAGTCAGTCAAAAGCTGCCAGTGTATGGATTTCTGAATTAGTCTGCCTTAAACCTGTCTGTTTGTATTTAACAAAGACTCCTTAACCACATTTTTGCTGTGTGGTTGAGCCCAGTAATCTGATCTGAGACCTGTGCTTTGTCCCAGGTTGGGCCTTGATGGTTTGAAGATGCAGGTCAGTTTTCATGCTGAATTCTTGTGCAGTTGGTTCACTGTCAGAAGTCAAACATCTCGTCAGTGTAAATGGCACTAATTCTGCGTGTCGCCTGCTTCCTCACAGGGAACCAACGGATCGCAGCTGTGGGACACGGCCTTTGCTGCACAGGCCTTCTTGGAGGTGAAGGACTCTGGGTTAATCTGAGGTCACATGCTAAGAGGATTTAGATTCATTAATCCATCTGTCCGTCTTCCATATCTATTATTCACCAGATTAGAGGGAGTCTGGGCACTTATCCCAGGACTGATAACTCAAAACTCAAATTCTCTTTTTCACCTTTAATCAGTCAGTCAATCAATCAGTCAATAGTAAGTAAAACTTATAAAGTGCTTTTCACAAACAAAAGTCACAATGCAGCGTACAAGTCCAAAGCAGTCAACCTTACAGTACATAAAGAATAAAATATATAATAAGTAAAATCGGACCAAAAGCTTGTTTAAATAAAACCGTTTTAAGACTGTGTTTAAAATAATCAACAGACTCAGCTGCATGTATTGAAGGAGATTATCATTCCATAACCTCGGGGCAGCAACCTGGAATTCTCAGTGGCCGGTAGTCTGACAGCCCTTTCTCCCGAGAACTGACCCATCGAGTGGTTTCGTGATTTTTAAGGAGTTCGGTTAAATACTTTGAGGCTTGACTATTCAGGGCCCAATAGATAATCACAATGATCTTAAACATTATCCTAAAATCAACAGGATGATGACAATATAGGTGTTTTGTGCGCCCTTCTACAAGAGCGTGTTAGAGGCCTTGCTGCCACATTTTGAACTGCTTGGATTCGGGAGACAGAAGTTTTATTCAGTCACGAAAACAAAGCATTGCAGTTGTCCATCAATCAGAGTTTTGTCACACACAGTTATACTCGGTGCATACTCACTCATTGCAGTGAAATGCTCAGTTGCCTGTCTCCAAGACTGTGAAATGGACATGCGTGTAAAGACACAGAACATGAAACATTAAACAATAGAAGTTAAAACACTAATCATAAATGTCCCTTTAAGATTGCGGGTAAGTTTGCATATTCTACAGTTGTGTGGGTTTCCTTTCTAGGTCTCTGGTTTCCCCCTGCAGGGTGTGGTCCAGCCTTCTGCCCCGTACTCGCTGGGGTGGCTCTCCTTGCCCCCCCCCCACCACGATATGGTAAATCATGCTGTCTGTTCTGTCATTCCTTCAGGCCAGGGCAGAGGACAGCCCCAAGTTTACAGAGTGCCTTCAGCATGCCCATCAGTTCCTAGCTTTCACTCAGGTGAGACCCAGGGGGGGAACGTCCAGCATTCCTGTCCCACCACGCAGTCGGTTCATGCTGAACAGGCTGGTGTTGCATCTCAGGTTTTGCTTCATATCATCACTGCAGTATTTGGTCTGTACCAGCTGAAACATGTACTTTCTCTTAGATACCAGAAAACCCGCCTGACTACAAAAAATACTACAGACAGATGAACAAGGTATGTCCCACACCAAGGTCAAAGGTCACACCACACTCATGCAGGCCAGGATCTGCAGGCATCCTCCCCTAGTGCCAGTGTTTGATATAGCTTTGGTACATATTGCCATGGTCAGCAGAATGATGTCACCGCTGGGCCCCTAAGCAAGGCCCCTAACCCCTAATTACTGCAGGAACCGGCCGACCCCGCTTTTGCAAAAAGGATATTTCACTTGGGATAAAGGCATATTCTAAATAAATAGAAATCACAATATTATGCATGCATTTATTCAGTTGTTCTGTTGTGATAAACCCTAAAGTGTACATGTATGTGCGTGTGTCAATGCATGTCCTTTGTCCCATTCCTGTGTATGTCATAGCCTTAGGATATTTCCGGGCATCAGAAATCCCACAGTTTTAGGTAAACACTAGGGGTGTAACAGTACACAAAAATCACGGTACGTACCTCAGTTTTGAAGTCACGGTTCGGTACGTTTTCGGTACAGCTGGGGGTAAAAGAAACAAAACATTAATTGCTTCTTTTTTTCTTTATTAAACAGTGGTTTTTATACTTAGTGGTATTACAAAGTATTAGTATGCCTTTCATAAATAAAAAGTCCCTGTCAATACTGCTGCAACCTACTAGTAAAAAACTAAAATTTACTTAAAAGAAAATCAAAATAAAATAAATATCCATGAAGGTGCACATTTAGAAAATGAACCGTCCCTTATCTGTACTGTGTATTCACATTAGCAGCTTTCAACTTCGTATTGCACAAATATTGTCTCAAAATATGCAAAGCATAACAAAATAAATATTGATTATGGTGCAGCATTTAAAATACCTGTGCTGTGTTTGTAATCACATTAACATTCAGCTTGGCATTAGGACGTATGTGCGCATGCGTAGTTCTGTATGTCCGTGTGTGGTCTCGCTGCCAATGGTGTGACCCCTGCATGCCCCCTCGCCCCCCAGGGCGGCTTCCCGTTCAGCACGCGCGACTGCGGCTGGATCGTGGCCGACTGCACCGCCGAGGGGCTCAAGGCGCTGATGTTGCTGCAGGAGCGCTGTCCCTTCATCACGTGTCATGTCCCCAGTGAGCGCCTCTGCGATGCCGTCAATGTGGTGAGGGGCAGTGGTGCTGGGGGGGGGGGAAGGGCTTAAGCCTTCAGCGTAATGAATCTGAGCGTATAGTGTGGGCCAGCTGTTACCCATCTATTCTAGTTATCGGACCCTGACCTTTCATGACCCCCCCCCAGCTCCTGAGCATGAGGAACAGTGACGGTGGATTTGCCACCTATGAGACCAAACGTGGAGGGAGGCTCCTGGAGCTATTGAACCCCTCTGAGGTGTTTGGTGCGTGTCTCCGCATCCCGCTGGGGGGGTTCGGTATTGGTTATTGGTGCGGCGCCTCTATCTCAGGTCGTGTCCCAGTGACGCTCCTGCTCCCCAGGTGACATCATGATCGACTACACCTACGTGGAGTGCACGTCGGCTGTGATGCAGGCCCTGAAGCACTTCCAGCAGGCTTTCCCCGAGCACAGGGCACAGGAGGTCAGGTAGCTATGTCAGCGCCCTTCCATCTTCCAGCCTTCTGTCTTGGTCAGGAGGAGCAGAGGATCTGGAGCTAATCCCAGGCAGCACAGGACACACGTGGCAGGGTCGGGCAGACAGTCGACCTTAGTCGACCTTTTTCCTCCCTACTTGGGGGGTTTTGGTTCCTCTCCTCCATTGTCATCTGACTTTCTTTCATTTCATTCTGTCTTTGTCTTCCCTTCTTTTTGTATTATTCTGTATGAATGGTGTAGTGATATATTATAACACCCACATAAGGCACCTTGGGGTGACTGTTGTGAAAAACACAATGTAAAACTGAATCGAATCTTACCCTCGACGAAATGCTGGTGTCTGATAGTAGTGAACGTAGAATTATAGAATAGGAAATTTATATAAAAATAAGTTTTTAATCACAATGTGAAGTGTAGTGACTGGACGAGACTTGGCAAAGCTGAACAGTTCAACGATTCTTCCCGTTTGGTGTCATCCCTGTTAATCTCAGCCAGCTGTGCTGAATCTGCTCTCCCTCTTAGATCTACGCTGGACCAGGGCCTCGAGTACTGCAGGAGGGTGCAGAGGCCTGATGGATCATGGGAAGGGTAGGTTATGAACACCTCAATGAGACTTGATGTGCCCTTAACCTTCATGCACGTGTGTAGCTACCTGCTCACAGACTGAAGCCTGTGAACCCCCCCGCCACAGGTCCTGGGGAGTGTGCTTCACGTACGGTACCTGGTTTGGACTCGAGGCCTTCGCCTGCATGGGCCATGTCTTCCAGAGTGGGTAAGCAGGTGGAGCCGTGGGAGCCCAGGTCAGGGCCAGGTCAGCCAGCCAATGTCAGACATGTGGCGTGATTCCCCCCCCCACCCCCCCCCAGGATGGCGTGTCCTGAGGTACAGAGTGCTTGCGACTTCCTGCTGGCCCGGCAAATGGAGGATGGTGGCTGGGGGGAGGACTTTGAGTCGTGCGAGCAGCGGCGATACGTGCAGAGCGAGTGCTCGCAGATCCACAGCACCTGCTGGGCCCTGCTGGGACTCCTGGCCGTCAGGTAGAGTCCCGCTGATGATGTCACTGTCCCGGAAGGTCAAGGCACCTCTCAGTAAAAGTTTATTGATCCCTGTGGGGATGATTCTCTGTTTGCCTCCCATCTTGCTCTCTGTAGGTGAGAGCAAGCTTGGCAGTGAAGGGCAGCTACCCGTCGCTTAGCTTGAATGATCAGAGCTTGTGATTTTATTTTTAGCAAGAGTGATCAAATGTCCAGTGATTCGCGACAGATGGACAAAGGGGCACCTGAAGCTTTATCTGTCCTGGTGGCTTTAGGATTTACTTGCAGTCCCAAAGAGCTCCAGCAGGTGGTGCAGTACACATATACATTTGGGTACAAGGAACATTATTTATCCAAACTTGTGCATCACCAGTTTTGGTTTGTTTTTCTATGATCAACACCAGGAAGTAATCATGCTCCTGTACCGAAATGGCTGGCTTCCCTGCCTTAATGGGCCACTGTTTTTACCCTTTTTTATTAGGTACCCAGATACCAAGGTGATAGAGCGAGGGATTCAAGTCCTGATAGATAAACAGCTCCCCAATGGAGACTGGCCTCAAGTGAGTTTCCTATCTATTCTTATAGCATTTCTATGAGATGTCACCTGTATAAACACAGAAAAAAAAAGCTCTATGCTGTGGTTTCCAGGAGAACATCTCTGGGGTCTTCAACAAGAGCTGCGCCATCAGCTACACCTCTTACAGGAACGTCTTCCCGGTTTGGACCCTGGGCCGCTTCTCCTGGCTGTACCCCTCCAGCCCTCTTGCCGGGAAGCTGAAACAGTGAGGGGTGCGCGGGGCGGGGGCCAGCCAGAGGCCCCGGGGTCCACTGGCTCAGCACCCACTGCTGGATGGATGGGCAGGGTCACGGCTGCCTTTAATACCCTCTACTAGCCAAACTCAAACGTCTTTGGTTGTCAAGCTGTCTACTTTTTGGAATACAATAGATGTTCATGGTGTGTAATTACTGTTAATACTGAAAATATAGAATGAATGAGTTTTGTAATGCATCCTGTGAGTGGGTTATTGTCTTTTTGCCTCTATGGATGTTAATGGTTTGCATTTTTACTGTCCTGAAAATCAAGGTAATGAGATCGTTCAGGTCCAACAAAAAAAGAAAATATGAGGCTGATTATGTATGCACAACAGAGCAGAAAGTAAAACATATAGGATATTCTCACTCATAATTGAGGTTTGTTATGGAAGTATCCTTACTACATACTTTTGCTAATTCAGTATAGTATGATTTCCTTTTGGCTGGTTGTTTTATTTTTTGTCTTCAGTTTAGCTCACTACAAAGATCCGGATGGTTCTATAAAATCCAGGTGGAGCCTGACACCTGCTGTGGAGCTTTCTGTGGTTAGACACACTGTCCGTCGTCTGTGTTGATAATCTTGATATTGATATTTTTGGATCGACCCCCCCCCCCCTCCCCCCCTCAGTGACCAATGAAAGGAGATGTTCCTCTCGACTAATCGGCGCACTGGGATCTTGCAGTCTGCTGTTACCTTTCCTCTGTATACCCAGCCAAGTTGGAGCCCCACTCTGCAGTTACTGATTCACTGCGACCGGAGGTGTATCACTTTTAATGATGCAATCAGTGTTTATTTGTAAAAAGAAATAAAAAATCACCTAATGCAAACAGTTAGTGAGAATCACCTAAGACCATGTGCACACTGAAGGAGTTTGTTTTCTTTTCTCTTATCAATGTGTTATGAAGTTTGTCCCAAACCTTCCCTCGCACGCCATTGTAGTTTGTTTATACATTCCTCCCCGCCACACCGTGTGTGATGTCATCCACTCGACTATCACAAGACTAAAAACAACACCCGGGGGCCTTCATTGTGATCTCAGGTGACTTCAGCCACGTCACACTAATCTCGACCCTCCCTGCTTTTTATCAATATGTAGATCACAGCACCAAGAAGAACAGGACAATAGGCTCATGTTTGCTAAAGTGAGACATGCATACAGTACCACCCCCAACCCCCACTGGGGAATTTTGATCATAAGCGGGTTCTCCTCCAGTCCCAGTACAAGCCACGTGTACAAAGACAACCCATAACCCCACACTCCTTCAGGAAATGGTCTCCTGCAGTAGAGGAAGCTCTGAAGGACTGCTTTGACTCTACCGACTGGAGTCATCAAGGAGGTCACACAGTGCACCCCTGACTACCTCAACTTCGGTTTCGACATTGCTACTCCCATAAAGACCTGTTTTCTGCTTTCTTAACAACAAGACCTGGATTACCAGTGATGTCAAGGATCTCCTTAACAAGAAAAAGAGGGCATTCAAAAATGGAGACCAGACAGAGCTGAAGCACGGGCAGGGAGAACTCGGGGTCCGGCTGGAGGGGGGCAAAGGGGACATAGAGAGGAAAGGTGGAGCAGAGGAAAGCAACATAAGGGAGGTCTGGGAGGGCAGGAAAACATCAAAGGCTGCAAGAGGAAGTAGCACGGCAGATGGGGTTGTGGTAAGAGCAAACCAGTTCAACCAGTTCTTCAACAGGTTAGATAGTTCTGCTCCTGCCGCTGCTACAGTGTGGTTTTAGGCTGACTTCCACTGCCGGCCCCTGGATGATGGGCTCCCCCAACGTTTCTTCCTTCTAGAGAATTTCTCCTTGCCTCTGTCGCCTCTGGCTTGCTCTCTGGGGGCTTTGGGCAGGGATAACGTAAAGCGCTTTGAGACGTATGTAATGTATAATGCGCTATACAAAAAAAATTGAATTCAACTGAAGTGAAGTACAACATGCCAAGTCCCCATCCCCCCCCATCACTACTAAAACCTGTCCTCTCACGCCTTCACCTCCCCCACCAGAGCTACAGACACTCTCCCTTCCCCTCCAGGCTGCCATCACGGACATTGCAGCCCCCCCCCCCCTCCAACAAGTCTTCAAGCTGTGCCTGTAGCTGGGGAGGGTCCCTACACTACGGAAGACGTCGTGCCCTATCCCAGTGACCAAGAAGGCACACCCCAGTGCACTGAACGACTCCAGGCCAGTTGCTCTTACATCACACACAATGAAGACTTTGGAATGGCTGCTGCTGCATCTCCTCAGACCTCAGGCCCTCCATGGACTCCACCTTCTGCAGTTTGCTTACAGTGAGAAGGTGGGTATGGAGGAAGCCGTCATCTATCTGCTGCACAGAGCTTACTCTCTGCTGGACAAGGGGAGCAGTGCTGTGAGGATCATGTTCTTCGATTTCTCCAGCACCTTCACCACCATCCAGTTCCTCCTTCTGAGAGACAAGCTGACAGAGATGAGGGTTCACTCTTTCCTGGTGTCCTGAATCACAGGCTACCTCACAGGGAGGCCACAGTACATCAGGCTGAAGGCGAACCCCCCCTTCGGCCCCCCCAATCAAAAATTGTCTCAATCCCCAACTCCCCAGCAAGAAGAAAAGAACACCATTAAGCACTAGCTTATTTGGAGTGAAATAAATATGTAATGATAAAATTTTAAACTATATAAATATAAAAAATACATTGAACAAATATCAAAAAGTAACAAAGACAAATAGAAACAAATTGTAGTATATATTAAAAAAAGTATATTTAAAAATGAAGTATAAACAATTAGAATAAGCAAAAATAAAGAGAATAAAGTAATTGCACTATATCCTGATTGGCTAAAAACAAATCAATGTTATACTAGACATACATAATATTATACTCATATACATTCTTAACTCTTTTAGATGTTTCTCCTCCTCTTTCCCCTTCTTTCTAAACTGGGCACCTGATGGCTCAGACCTTTTCTTATCCATTCGTGTTAATTTTCCACTCGAGCTTCAGTACACTACCCATCCTCCAACAATGTCAAAACTGAACAAATTCACCTTGGGGGTGTGCAGACTGGCTTTATTTTATTCTTAAGGATTTCACATAAACCAGGAAAATACAACCATATGTCTGTAAATTTGTATATTGACAGTACTACGAGTGAATTGTGGTCTGTTTGGTAGATTCTCCTGCTCCCCATACCTCAGGCTGGGTTCAGCCGAGCCCCACCCCCCTCTCCCCCTCTCATACTTCTGAGTGGGAGCTGCCTAGCTCACAATCTACAATCAGGGCACCCACTACGACGAGGTTAATTGACTCACATTTTGATCCCATTGACATGATATGCATGGGAGCGATACAGACCCGATCATGCAAATGTCACCATTCCTTTTTTGTGCGGGTGCCCTCTTGCTATCCTCAGCAAGACGCAGCCCTGGACGGCTGCTCATGTCACCTATACCTGTCAGGATCAGTCCCTGTCCTATGTCTGTTCCCCGTTTGGCCAGCAGGTGTCACTGGCCATCCCATGCCCTTAGCTCCTACTGTTCTCCTGTTCCCTAGGTTGCTGCATGGCTGAATGAGCGGAGTGGCTGGCTGTGTTATTCAGACTTGCCTTTTGTTGTGGGAAGTGGCCAGTCATAGGCCAGCTTTAGCTATGTTTATAATTTGACATTTATGTTTCTTTGTACATCCTGGGTTTGTTATACATTTGTGTTATGGTTTCTTGTTTTGTAGCTTTGTTTATTCCTGCTTGTGCTATAATTTTGTAAGTCTTATTTTCCTGGTATCTTCTAGTGTTTGAACCCTTAAGTATTTGTGAATAACCCTCACCTATGTCTTGTTCCCAGGCCTAATGTTTGATTAATTGTTTTGGTCTGCACCTGCCCCTCATGTAGCACTCGTTATCTGCGTTTAAGTTAGGATGACCAGATAATCCATGTCAGGGAGGACACTCTGAGCTAGGACAGGAATTGTAAATTACCATTTCAATTAAACGGGCCTGGATTTCACTTGAGCACTGAGTTCTTGCTGTGTGCTGATTGGTCAGTCTCCTATAATCATGCATATGTCACTAATACTAATGTGAAACAGCTGGATGAGTCTTTCATTCAAGGAAACAAACTAGTCAAAGCACAAGAAAAGCTGAACTATTTCCGCAAGCACAGGAGCCTTTCAATTTGAAAGTAGTTTGTAAAACCCGAAGTAGCTGAAAGTGTCCTCCCTGACATGGATTATCTGGTCACCCTAGTTTAAGTGCTTGCCCTCATTCGGTTCTTCAGTTAGCCATTGTTAGCGGAATGCTATATGTCGTGTAGGGGTTTTGAACAAAGGTTTCTTTTTATTCTTGGAGCACCGTAAATGGAATACATTTTTGTAACTTTTGCATGAGGCCCTGGAGTAAAACTACAGTTTTATTGTAGTCACAGAAGTAGAAGTAGGAGAACAGGAAGCAGAAGAACTAGTTATACGTCATACAAATGTGGGGTGTTCTACAGAGGTACACAATAAAGGCACCTTCTGCATACGCCACAAAGACAAAAGCTGATGTCGCTTGGAAAAGATCTCTGAGGGGCAAAGATTATCCAGTTAATGTAATGGTAGATTTTGTTAATCAGTACAAAGATTTTTTGACCAGGCGAGAGAAGATCTGAGTCCTAAAGTCATGTTATTCAACAGCTGAGAGATGCCAAGTGGGATGGATGGGGGTGGCAGTCTGGCACCTCTTGAATACGACTGAGTGCCTGAGAATATACCAGATTATTTTTTCAGCTCTGAATGCAGAGTTTGCTTAACCCTGCTGGACAGCATTCTTGTTTGGGTCAAAGCACTGAGCTCTGGTCCTCTGAGAGCTCTGAAAAAACCCTGTGCATGCTGGTCTCTGCGACTGGCTGTCGTCTTTGTCCTGTTAATGCCCTGTTAATGTCTTTTCCTGTTAATGCCCTGTTAATGTCTTTGTCCTGTTAATGCATTTCAAAGGTCCTCATCCAGACCACTGGATCAGGGCTCCTCTTTTCTCTACTCAAGCTGTTTTGTGTTTAACTGAACAGACCAGAGACTCATTGCCAGGTGACCTATGTACGGGGAATGGAACAGGTTAATGATTCCTCAGGCGTGTTTCGGGGGCGGGATCACCTCTTTAAAGGTGCTGTGTCCACGGTGTGGTGGTGGGAGTTTAAGGGGTCCAGAGGGCAGTCTACTCTTATTGTACTCGCCATAAGTTCTGAGTCACTCTGAGTCCTGGGACGGTCCATGGCAAAGCTGGTGGAGTGTGTGCCCAACTTTTCTGAGGGCAGAAACAAGGAGGTAGGAAGCAGGCCTGGGTGGGTGGGGTGATTGGGCTACAGGAAGTTGTCAGCGGGGCAGAAGTACAGAAAGATAACAGTCCATGGGTAGCAATGTGTGAGTTGGCGTATGGTTACGTGCAACTGTGCATTCAAGGCCTTATCTTGTGAGAGATCAGGCATCAGATGATGGACAATTTGAAATACTTGGTGTTGCGTGATTCATATTATGCAGGTGTTAAGGATGCTTTCTGGTAAAAAGGCTGAATGTTCACGCATGACAATGCTGTTTGTGCGAAGCACAGCTTCCTTGTGGTTTGTCATTGACTTTTTTAGTGAAGAGTCATGAAGTGTTAAGGAAGACGCCACAGGTGCTAGTCTGTCATTGTGCAGGCATGTGAAGGCCGCTCTAAGTGTGCCGTCGCGGGCAGGTGATTGACGCCATCGCGGACGCCATCTCCGGCACAGATGGCTGCAGCCTGCTGGATGTGGATCCGGGCTCCTCCACAAACCGCACGGTGTATACCTTGGTGGGCTCGCCACAGGCCGTGGTGGAGGGGGCTCTGAATGCAGCGCGGGTGGCCTTCCAGCGCATTGACATGGCCAAGCACTCGGGTGAGCAGCTGCTGCAGACAATCCGTCGTGTGACCTTCTCTCTGTGGTCAAGTCGCTATTGCGACATGAGATCTAAATCCAGTGTCCATGAGGACAGTTAACAAGGGTCAGAAGTGACAGATGGGGGATTGAGATTGCGGGGGACAGTGTGCGGGTTAGGACACTGGTCGTTGTTTCAAATCCCAGGATTGACTGAGTGATTTCATTGTTGGGCCTGTGGTTAAGGCCCTTAACCCCCAGTTGCCTTGGAAACTGTCTGACCTTGTTTTCTCAAAAAAAAACAATGTTGCTTTAGATATGAGTCTGCTAAATCAATGTAAAAAACATGTGCAGTGGCCAGGGGTGACTTTACAATAAAGGGGCATTTTCATTAATGCCTCCCAGGTGGGAAATATTGGTCGAAAGTTACTGTGATCCTCAATCTACTTCAGGATCTTCCAGCAGGGAGTTACTGTACATGCCTAGCTCGTACATTATTTATACAGAGAGTTATTGTAATGAGCCATACCTCAATGTTCAGCTTTAAAGTTATTAGTTCCCTGCATTTGCACATTATACCTTAAGAACTGGGCTTACTTAGTGTTGTCCTGTCATTAAATTAGTCTTGCATAAACAGAGTAGCAATTAATCCACAGTGCCCAGACGCTGTTTAGGTAGGTCTCCTGGGTTCTTTTGTCACATTCGGTTGATGCTGCAAAACTAGTGATCCATGTAAACCTCAGAGTCACATGATCTGGCAGTCACATGATCTGGCAGTCACATGATCTGGCAGTCACATGAGGCTGCTGGTACATGACCTCAAAGTTAAGGCACTATTCCTGTGTCACCTGGCATGCTCCTGCATAAGGAGGTCACAGCTCCACTAGCAGTTGACATCAGCTAACTGAAAGCACTCTAACTAAAGCAGACCATCTTTGGTTGTCTTCAGGGAGGTGTCAGACCCCAAACCCTATGGCTATGTTTCAGGGGAACATCCCAGGATGGGGGCTATGGACGTGTGCCCCTTCATCCCCGTGCAGAACGTGACGATGACTGAGTGCGTGGACTGTGCCAATGCCTTTGGTGGGCGACTCGCTGACATGCTACAGATTCCTGGTGAGCCCTGAGACTCCTGCCCCATTGAAGGAGACTAGGTGGTTCATCAACCTCATGAGATGTTCCCCAAAACCCAAGCTGACAGCTTGTGATACCCCCTGGCAGTGTACCTTTATGGAGAGGCTGCCCGTGAGGAGAATCGGAGGTCTCTACCCACGATCCGTGCAGGAGAATATGAGGCGCTGCCTGAGAAGGTGAGGCCCAGCGTTTAACCTGTGCTCATTCACCACTTCCTGACACATTCAGTCAGGTAAACACATTAATGTCATTGCCATGGATAATTCCTGGCTAGGCCTTTTTAGCAACATCTAATGATGGCCAAATGAATTTTCATGAACCATTTGCTGTATTTTTTGACCCCACTAGATGGCGCTCTTAGATTGCTTTCTGTATCCTTTGAGCCCTTTTTTGAACAGAGAGCACCTGCTAATGGGGTCAGAAAATACAGCAAACGGTCCATGAAGCTTCATTTGGCCACCACTACTAACATCTTCTCTAAGGAATTCAGGTTGTACTTTAAAGATACAGAAGCACCAGGACACAACCTAGGATTTAACTGGTCACTAAATATCTTCCTGTTGCCCCATCCATCTATCCATCCATCCATCCATCCATCCACTTATCTACTACAGGGAATGGAGATGTGGCCCATTTAAGTATTATTTCACTATAATAATTAGATACAATTCTGAGTTTGAGTACATTCAGGCTCTGCGCTGTTTGTAAATGTTCTTCAGTATCAATATGAATGGGATGCTGCACAAGGTTTCCTGTCTGAGTGTTAATCATGTCTCAGCTGAAAAAGACGGAGTGGACCCCTGACTATGGCCCTGCCGCTTTCGTCCCCTCCTGGGGGGCCACAGTGACGGGTGCTCGCAAGTTTCTCATCGCCTACAACGTGAACCTCCTGAGCACCAAGGAGCAGGCCCATCGCATCGCCCTGGACATCCGGGAGCAGGGGCGCAGTGCGAGTCAGGTGAGCGGCTGGCGGCCATTTCTGCTCTCAGATGTACCTCCTGGCAGGCCTGTGCACATTAAGTCCTTTTAAAAATGGCCAGCTTAGTGCAGAATTTTTGCTACTAATTCTGACAGAATGAGTTGGATCTGCTTAAGCAAAGGAGCATGATGTGCTTTCACTTAGGGTTGGGGATGGGGTTAGAATTAAGTCAGATAGTTCTCTGAAACATTATACACCTTGATCCAGGTTCTTCCAATATCATCGCTGCATCTTTGTATTCTTATATCGTGTTATTCTTTCTCATCTAAATATTATATGTTAAGCTTTAGCAATCAAGTGAATAGTGACATAAGTTCATCAAGGCATTACCCTACTGAGTGGGGCTGGGTGTGTCCTGCAGCCAGGCCTCTTGAAGAAGGTCCAGGGTATGGGCTGGTACCTGGAAGAGGCCAACTTGGCACAGGTGTCCACCAACATCCTGGACTTTGAGGTGACCCCCGTCCACGCAGTCTACGAAGAGATCTGCAGGGACGCTAAGGTAAGATGACAGAATCCATAACCAAAACAGCAAAAAATCATCAATTTCAATTACAATTGTCCAATTGCAATACACCGATCTTCTACTATTCTACAGACTACAATAATTACCATGCTAACCTATGCTTTGATGACCCTATACACAAACTAAAGCAGTAGGTGGCACCTGTAGCGAGGATGTGATTCTATATGAACCAGCTTTTAGCAGTGACTCAGAAGCAGTAAGTAATGATTTATGAAACATTTGCTGTATTTTCTGACCCCGCTAGATGGGGCTCAAAGCATATACCCCAAAGCTAACCAAGAGCACCATCTAGTGGGGTCAGAAAATACAGCAAATGGTTCATGAAGCTTCATTTGGCCATCACTAGCAATAAAGCATCACCTAAGGCAGGTGTGGGCAATCTTATCCGCAAAGGGCCAGTATGTATGCAGGTTCCTGGGATAACCTGTAGGTCAACTGTTCAAACCCAGGTGTGAGGACTCTTCAGCCAATCAGTCCTCTAATTAGTAATCTAATTAGGGAGTTGTAGCGAAAACCTGCATACACACCGGCCTACTGCTTTTTTCGTTTTTTGAGAGCTGCATGCAAACATAATCTCATTTTGATTTTATTTTATACTATTGCATTTTATTACATATTAAAGTAAAAGTCAGGAAATTTACTTCTGTAAATTTAGAACCTTCTATGGTTCTCATGCAGATTTAGAATGAGATTTAACATTATATTGCTGCAAACCATCATACTCCTGGATTCTGGGTGAAACAGTCTGAGTGTGAATACAGATACACCATCCATCCACCTTCTGACCGTGTATTCTGGTCAGGGTCTCGGTGGACCTAGATCCTAACAGGCATGCGATACACATAAAAACAGAGGTAGGTAATTCATAAAGTATTTAATCTATAATAAAAGGACAGTAGATGGTAGAGATAGTAATGTGAATGATCTGAAGTGGTGGTCATCATTCATTCATTCATTCATTCATTCATTCTCACACCACGATAGGACCTCAAACTCCCGGTGGTGGGGTCTCAGATTGTAGGCCTAATCCCTCTGAAGGCCATGCTGGATTGCGCGGACTTCTACATTCAGAGGGACAAGCTTTTCGTTATTGAGGAGGAGCACAAAGTGAGACTGGTGAGCACCCACGTTCCCCAGTAACCTGCCTCTGGTAACCTGCCTCTGGTAACCTGCCCCCAGTGAATGGCCTCTCTCCCTCCATTCAGGTCATTAGTAAACTGGGTCTGGACTCCCTAGGACCGTTTGTGCCCAAGGAGAGGATTATCGAGTGAGTGCCCATCAGCCGTGTCTGCCGAAGACTCTGCCCGTAAGCCGGGCCGCATGCTGATTGGTCCGTGTTGCAGATACATGGTGGTGGGCACGCAGGACCATCAGCGGCTGCTGTCGCTGCCTCTGCAGCAGTTTGTCCGCAGCGTGGGAGCCAGGACGGCCGCACCCGGGGGAGGATCCGTGTCGGCAGCCATTGCTGCGATGGTACGAATGCGAGTTTGGTGGGCGATGCTGATCAGGGCTTAATTTTCATTGGTGAATGTCAATAGCTGGAAGTCAAGTCAGCATTTCAGCTCAGGAAGGATTTCTGATGCTCCCTGTGTCTGTGAAGATATGTGCCGGATAACAGAAAATATCTAGATTTCTTTGGAGATTTGTATATGTTGCTGAAGCATATAAGGAGTCAGTGCTTGCCTGCCTGGGTTGGGTGTTGTTTCCAGGGGGCCGCTTTGGGCTGCATGGTGGGGCAGATGACTTATGGGAAGAAGCAGTTTGAGAACCTCGACACCGTCATGAGGAGGCTCATCCCCCCCTTTCACCACGCCATGGGTGAACTCCTGGTCATGGTGGACACCGATTCCAACGCCTTCAATGACTACATGGTGAGGACAGACAGGGCTCCACTTCATTGGTCAGGGTGGGCAGTAGTCATGTATATTTAAATCAGGTAACAATGCATTATGGGAGTTCTGGGGTAAAGTGAGTTTCAATAATGACGGCCCCCATGGCTTAAATACCTATTTTCATACACTGCTGCCCCACCTAAGCTAAGCATTGCCTATGACATTTTGACCTTTTTAACCAATTTTTTTCTGCTCAGTTTTAGCTAACAAAACTCCCTACGTGGTTTGAGCAACTCTGTTTATCGATCATCATTTTAATCCCACCTGCTCGTTTCTTCATGGCTGTTAGGTGCCAGGAAGCCCTCAGAGGCCTTATTTTCCTTCTGTTGGTGCTTTTGCATTGGAAAGGGTGCAACTTTCCAGGCCACAAGGTCCTGTGTTCCTACTCAGCCATGCTTAGGGGGATTCTGCACCAATGTCTTAAAGGTCTCATGACCTTTAAATCAAACCTGTCACATGTGCTCATGCACGCACACCCCAGTTTGTCTGATAGTTGGTGGTTCCAGCTGCCTGAGCACCTTTGGGAACCAGATTGCTAAGTGTGGTGTCACTCATGAACATCAGCTGCGCTGCTTTGATGTGTAGGAGAGGTATGTGTCTGCGGCCGAGGGCAGAGATCCTGTCAGGCTGCATTCTATCGCGTGACAAGTGTGTTGTCTAATCCTGTGACACCCCAGGGACTATCATCATGTCTGCCCCACCTTCACAAACCCTGTACCCTCGCTGCTCTGTAGCTGGAGGTGTGACACTTGCAGGGGTGCTGTGGGGATGTCTTTCAGTTCTTGGTTCTGGCTAGTTCTCCTTTTCAAATATCAAGGCCAAACAAAACAGCAATAACATGATATACAGGTTCACTAGCATGACACAAGTGACTCTTTTATCTGCTCTTTCAGACTGCGCTCAAAATGCCAAAGAACACCCCAGACGAAGTGAAAAGGTAGCACGAAAACACAAGAAAGTCAATGTTTATTTTCCCATTTACCCTGAACTGGAAAATTATTTGCTTGATGGATGGATGGTCTACCAGTGCCACAGCTGTTTAAAAAGCCTTGTATTAAAGGCTTTCATTCCAGATAAAGTGCATAAGTAATGTTTAAGTAGGTATGACCTAACCCTCCCTATCTCACTTCTGACCTGTGGTGAGGAGTCAGATCACACAGGCATAGAATTTACCACCATTCAAACAGCTTTAATTCCTGAGCTTGGATCCAAATGTTTTCTCATACACTGTTCCTCTGCCAAGGAGGGTTGTGGCCATACAGGATGGCCTGAAGAAAGCGGTGGGGGTCCCCCTGTCCCTTGCTGAGAAGGTCAGCCAGCTCTGGCCTTCCCTGAAAGAGATGGTCCTCTACGGCAACATGGCCTGCAAGTCCGACCTGCAGGTGAGCAGCATTGGGTGTCAGTGGGACCTCAGTGTCAGACAAGGCAGGAGTTTGATTTGCCATGATGGTGGAATTTCATTTTGCAAACATTTGTTGGACTTTGGGGTGGGAGTAAGGGGGTTACCGAGTACAAGTGTCAAATATCTTTGACCTTTAAGCATGAGATCTTGCCCCTGAAAACCTGGGGAGTAAACCCCCTTCCCTTCTTTCCTGTCTGCAAAGGAGCAATTCATTACAAGTAGAATGGCTACAGGAGCAAGGAGAGAATTCCAGATTTTTTGACAACTGTTGACAGTTTAAAGGGAAATACTGTGCAGAGTTTGTTTAAAGGGGATGGATTAATGACTGTTCTTGTTATGTTGCGAATGGTAAAGCCTCTTAAATACACAGATGTCTGTTGGATGGTTTTGAGTCTTCTGGGTCATATAGTATAATGGTCTGTCATTTCTGTGATGTTGAGGTGGCGGCCAAAGCTCTTGAGACGGCAGTCTTTGGAGCCTACTGCAATGTTCTCATCAACCTCAAGGACATCACAGATGAGTCCTTCAAGTCCACAGTAAGTCATTAGGCCCTTTGCACCAATATCACAGGAGAGACAAATTCTCCTGCAGTTTTTATTTTTGTAATATTCTTATTTGTCTGTGCAGACTCAGCAGAGGGTTTCAGTGCTGCTGCTGGAGGCCAGACAGAGCATGGCTGCAGTGCTAGATGTGGCTGAGAAGAGGGAGTGAACAGCCGTGTGGATGGCTCAGGAGAGCCCCAGGCTTAAAATTTGGCCTACACAGACACCACAAAAAACTCAATAAATGCCATCTTTAATGGAGCCATTTCGGTCTGCCTGCTTCTTCTTGTCATCCTTAATGTTTTTGGAGTCTGGAGAATTTTTCATAATCTGTTTCACAATTGTGAATTATACACAGGGCACTCAAGTCCCACACAATGACTGTGAGACACACACTGCACCCCCAACAGATGTAATCTCACTCCCAACTTTTAATGAAACTTGAGAGCCCTGGTTATGCAGGTAGATGAAGGTCCAGAGCTCCAAAACAGGATTTCTGCCCCACTTACCCGTCTGCCCCTGACTGGGAGGTAATACCGGTGGAATGGTGGTTCAGAGGGTATCACTGTGGGCTCATGTGACACGCCCCCAACACTCTATACGTGGAGTGCCGAACGCTCTCCCCCAACGCTCTATACGTGGAATGCCGAACGCTCTCCCCCAACGCTCTATACGTGGAGTGCCGAACGCT